GAATGGCTGGAGAATAAATACTGTTAGCATCATCCTTGTTAATTTGAAACAGTTCCCTACAGCTTCTTAACCATAAATGCTTCCCTACTGTAAGCACAATGTTTTGAATAAGAATAAGCAGCAAGATCAGGCAAGACAATTCAACTAACTGCCAAGAGGCTTCATGAGGGGATGCTCAGTAAATGTTTTCCAAATTGCATTCAAGACAATATATTTTGTTGAAACAGGTATGTGGGCATAAGCATACTCTGCAGTTTAGAGGAACTTGGTGTCTTTAAGGACTGCAGGCTTTTTGGAGAAAATGGGATTTTGAAGTGAAGATCCAGACTAGATTTCTGCTATCAGTTTTCACTTAATGATGAATAGTTTTAACTTGGATAAAATTCATTTCATTTGATTTACGGAAATGCCTGGTGAACTGCTGTCAGATATGGTCATGATAACTGAAAATTGACAGCCAAAATTTTATGTGGTTTTTGGGGGCTATACATGGAATATAAATCTGCATTAGTAATGAAATAATATTCTCTGATTACCCAAATGCAGCCAGATTTAGAACACCCCTTCCATTTTAATAGGCACCATTTTGTTTCCTTCATTCTTTCACTCATTACTTCAACAAATATTCATTGAGCCCCTACTATGTGTCAGGCACTGTTCTAGGTACTGGGGATAAAACAGAGAACAAAGCAAAAAAATATTCCTATCTGTTTATTTATTCAGTAAGTACTTACTTCACCCCTGCTATCTACCAAACATCATTCTAGGTGGGAGGTGAGATGGGTAAGGACTCAGTACCATCAGGTGAAAAATAAAAAGTAAATACACAGATGTTTAGAATAATGCCAGATGGTTGTACAGAGAGGGGAATAAGATGGCACCCATTGCAGATCTCCAAAAGTCATTCTCTATGCAGCTGTCTTCTCTCCAGGACTCTGTCCTGTGAGTTCTAGCCACCTGAGCCTCACTAAGCCACTCAACTCAGTCTCCTCATTGTAGGAAGACAATTGGTCTGTGTTCTGGGTTATTCCTTCCTATACTAATGCCTTAAGCTCTCCAGGCAGGAAGCTGGAGAATGTGTAGGACTCACCATATCTTTTTACCCTCTTTTGGGGCTTACTGTCCTCTGCTTCCTGCTGGCCAGTGTCTGAAAATCATTGTTTCTTACGTTCTGTTCAGTTTTTTAGTTGCTTTAGAGGCTAAATCTGGTCTTTGTTGATTCAGCTTGACCAAAAGCAGAAAGGAGCAGGCAGAACAGTTGTCTGACTAACACAGGGCTGGGAATAGCCATGTTCCCAACAGCCAGAGCAGAACCTCATAATGCCCAGGGTATCAGGAAGAGTCCTTAGCAGGAGATTGCCTGCATTGTGGAGCCAGATTAGCCCTGGAATAAAGGCTGCTCTGATACCACCTAACTAAGCTTAACAAGACCAAACTGTTTCCAATTAAATTACCTGCATCCCAGAACAAAACTCAAAAGCTTTTGAATGATTTAAATGAAAATAAAATTCATAGAGTCTGATATTCAGTCAGGTTTTACCAGATATGCCAAGAAGGAGGAAAATTTTACTTGCAATGAGGAGAAAAAACAATCAATAGAAGCAGACCCAGAAGTGACCCAGATAGAATTAGACATGGGTTTAGAATACTTAGTAGAATTAGACCCCACACGTTCATGAAAGTGGAGGAAGGCATGAGCATGTTGATGAGACACATAAAGATGTGAAGAACCTGAAACAAAATGAGGGAATGGGGTAGGTAACCAAACAAGGGTGGGGCTGCTTTTACTAGGGTGTCCAGGTGCTGTCTAAGGAGGTTATGTTTGACCTTACACCTGCCCGGCCTTGGGAAGAATGTTTCAGGTAGAGGAAATGACTAATAGTAGCACAAATTCCCTGAGGTAGAACAGTCTTGGCACATTCTGAGAACAGACAGAACACACCAAGGTTGCTAGAACACAAGGAGCAGGAAGAATTGTGTAGAACGAGGTCAAGAGGTGAGTAGGACCTTGTGGGCCAGGACGAGGAGCTGGCTTTACTTTTAAATGCACTGGGGAACCTCTGAGAGATTTAAAGCAGGGGAGTGATACGGTCTGACGTTTTAAAAACATCACTTTGATTACTTTGTGGAAGTGAGGCTGGTAGGGGGTGAAGAGTGGAAGCGCAAAGATGTCATAGAAATTCTGTTCTATGAGAGCTTCAGGGCCATAGGGAGAATTATGAGAGAATTTTCATTTATGTCTTGAAGTGAGTGATAGTGACTTTTTACATCGATATGTTAAATCATGAAAAGTTAGAGGTTTTATAAACCCTCCATAAGGCCTCTGATTTCTTGGTTAACTTAGCAGAAGTTACCCAGTAAATGCAGCCTTACTCTAGTCAATAATCAGTAACTCAGAGGATCATTTATGCAGTTTCACAGTTCATTAGTTAGTGAATTGCTAAGCTTCTTGACTGATAGGAGCTTTGTCTTTTTTTTAAATTCTTGGACAAGTCCAAAGAATTTCTTGAAGTGTTGTAATGAATTATTGCACAATAATATTGCTTAAATGAGTTCAAGTTCTACATTTATGTGTTTGAACTAAGTTATACATTTACTTTTTTGTATCTTTCAGATCCTCCAAGGCATTGATTGACACCTAAATGTGTGTCATGTGGATTTTGTTTTGTTTTGTTTTTTCTATACTTAAAACAATGGAGTAACTTGTAAATGTACATAAACCCTGTCACTGACTATCCCTCTAGGAACTGAAGTCTATAATTGCTCACTTACAGGTTTCTCTCAGGTTTATTCAACAATTATTGAATAAAGTGGGCAGCTGTGCCACTGTAGTTATGGAAGTCAGTAGAACATTTCCTACCTGATGCAGAGGGGACCTAGTAGGAGTGGGGAGAAGGTAGGGAGTGTCTGATTTGATATTATGTTTGCTAAGGTTAGTTCCTTCTTTGCTTCAGAGGATCATGATACCATATTTTTTTCAAATATCAGTAATAGTTTTTATCTTTCAGCAAACAAAACACAGCTAATAATGAAAAATTTGCCAATAGAATTGACAGACAGAATGACTTGTAACTGTCCACTTGGGCTTGCCTGTCATTTCCGTCTCTCTCTGTAACTTGTATAATGAGATAGCCAAAAGCAGATGGTAGAAACTTGTGGGCCACGTCATGTCATTGGACCCATTTGTTGATGGGGGTTCAGTAAATTGTTTTACTCTGAGCCTGAACAAAGTGCCTACATATTTGTGATTTTTATTAACTCATAAGGAGTGAGAAGCCAATAGAAGAAGCAATCTCTGTTATAGAAGAAGTTTGCTGTTAATTCAGACATCTACCCACTCCAGTCCCTATGCCTCTGAAAAGACAAATCTTGATTTTTTTTCTAATTGTGTTTCTCTTGGAACACTATATTTTTGAGATCTTACTGTGCCTTAATTCAATCACCTCATTCTCTCTTACTACACAAAATATTCCATTGTATGGAGAGACCATACATTCTTTAATTAGTCCCCTAGACTAATTTTAACAAGAATAATAGAAAACTTCTGGTTTTAAAAAAAGTAAAAAATAGTAATACAAGTATGAAAACAAAGAGGAAGGTGACTTTCATTTGAAATGAAGGCTTAATAGTTTTTTTCCTAATCTAAGGCATTCTGATGGAAGATTTGTTTTGTTTAGAATGCTCTGTTTATAGGAAGAAATCAGGATTTTATTTGAGACAGTTACTTGGATAAAAAAGTAAAAAGAGTATAGATAGAACAGCTGTTCCAGTTGTGACTTTCTTCTTCCCTAAGGACACTCCAGTGTGATTTTGCTGGGCAGTAACAAAGGAACATGTCTCACCATTTGCTTTTTTAAGTCTCTGCTTTCCCATCATGGTCAATGAGAAAACATTGTATTACGTGTTCAGTCTACATTTCCACGTGAATTGGAGCTAAATTCAACAGACCCAACAGGATTTTCAGTTTGATTCTTAGCCATCTGAGGAAGAGTGTCTCCCTGAAAAGTTTAGGATAAAAATGATACATATTTTTTTTAAATAGAAGATCTTTGTTTTACAGATACAGCTGAGGTTTATTAACCCACTGAAAAACTTAAGACGCCTTGGACTCAAAATGGTAACTGATATCTTTTTGGATTGGGAGTCCTATCAGTTCAGAACAGAAGAAATTGATGCTGTATTTCATGGTACAGTTTGGCCTCAGGTAAACCTTGATTTTTACATTCTGCCTGGATACCTTCTGCTGCTTCCTTTGTTACCACTGCACCAGCACAGTCCACACCCAGACATGAATGCCTGTCCTGGTCTTTTCTTTTCCTCCACTACCACCTAAAGCTCAAGAGCTACTGTCTATAATACTATGACATTTATAATGTAAATGTATATAGTATAAGACTAATTTGAATATGATTGTTTCTCTGACGCAAATACGAACATAACTTGTATAGCACCTCACATGATGTTCCTCTGGATCATGTGACAAGCATGAGGGAAAATACACAGGTATTTCTGTTACAGTATTTCCTCATTTGATATTTTGGATGTAACCATTTGGTGATGATAAGATGGCTGTAAGACATGATTTTAGGCAAGGTTTGTAGCTGCTTGAGCTCCGTTATTTCTGACCAGTTGAAAACTAAAGTATCTGGTTCCTTTCAAGTGTCCAGCACTTCTGTGCACTATCTTTGTCATTTTTCCCGTATAGACGTTATTTTGGATTCCTTTATGTTTTCCCTTGGTCTGTCCTTTAAATTGTAATCTCTGTCTCTTGGCTCTTTTGTCCACTGGTGTGGTTTTTGCTTTTTACTTATTTTTTCGTACAGTTCTACATATGCTTTTACTGGGCATTCTGTTCTTGTGTCCTAGATCAGCAGACTTGGATCTGAGAGTCAGTATTCTCCTACCCTTCTGCTGAAACTAATTAGTATCTGGAGCAGAAATGCAAGGTAAAACCCTGTTTTCCCCTTTAAAAAGGGCAGTGTTTTAGACTAATCTTGACAAAACTAGTCAAGGGAATTAATAATATAATTCATGGGCTTTCCATGCAATGAACTTCAGTGCAGTTAAAGAGACTAAGAAAGCTGAATCTCAAAATACATAGTTTAAATAAAAATACAAGTTATTGATTAATATGTATAGTGTAATCCAGGAAAAATGTGTGTGCATGTGTGTAAATAGAAAATGTAAATAGAAAATGTCTACAAGGATACATGATAAACTTAATGTTACCATAGCATATGGAGGTTTGAGTGGGCCAGAGTAGGGAAGAGAGAATTTTCATGATAAATCTTTGGAGTATTTGAATTATTTATAATTTTAAAAAAGGAAAAAAATAGGTAAAATTAATTTTGCAACCTAAGTCAAAATTGTAGAGTTAATATATCAAAACTTTCTTGCTATTTTTATGGCCTCATTAAAACTTGAAAATTAGAAGTATTAGGATTGATAGGGATATTCTTCCACTGTGTAGTAGTTGTTTCATCAGTTTGATTTGGCTTGGCAAAGGGAAAAACACAATGTGAAACACCAGATACAGGTTCCCCCCGCTATCTGAAAGCAGAGCATTCCAGTGAAACCTTTCTTAAGTTGAAATGGTGTTAAGAAGCAATTGCCATTAATTTATATGGAAAAATATTGAGCATTCCCAAACCCCAAAAAAGAATCTCTCTTGGGCTTTCCTGATACCTTAAGACACATCTTGCTAACAAATGCAGAAAATAAATTGAGATAAAGCACAGATGCTTGCAGACAATTCAAAGCTGTAGTGGCTTGATGCTGAGATGCTCAAGTGTGGCTCCCAGGGGAAGATCTTAGTGGTGCCCACTCTACATGCTTCAGGTACACGCGCCTCTCTAATAGTTCACTGCAAAACAAACACTGAACATCATTTTCACTTTTCACCCTCTTTTGTAAAAGTGAAGTGGTGTAATAGAAACTTTGGAAAAGCCAGGGATATCTGTAGTTATGTCGGCACATAAATATTAGCAGTTTTTGTATGCTTGCTTAAAAATAAAAGCTGATTTGTAATTGGCATCCTATTTTTTTTCCTAGTTTCCACTTAAAATCAAAAAAATTTCATAGTCATTTTAGAGTTTCTAGACATCTGTGTAAAACTCCATCTGAAAATACTTAAAGCTCTTGTGGTCATAAATCAACATCCTTTCAAGGACATTATGAGCTGTTTACACTGATGGTTCAGAGATGCTGTGTTACAGACCAAACGCATACTTACTGAGCAGTGTCAAAACCTTACCTGTGTTATTTCAATAGTGGAAACAGACTTAAGTTTGCTCTGATGTATTTTGAAGAATGAAAAATAGAATAAAAGAAAACATTTTATTATTGATTCAATAATGTTTAAGTCTTGGCATCAGTTTTTACAAAATTGGGATCATACTGTAAAACCAGCTTTGATTTTGTTTTGTTCTGGTTTCATTTACCATTATGTCTTGAAAATTTCCCTCAATCACTAAGTAGCTTCCAAAGACAAACCAGAGACCTTCCTTAGGAAAGCCTGTTTTATTTTTACTGGTGCTCTTTTCATTTATTTCTGACTTTGAGTAAGCAGCTTCATACCTTGTTTTATTACGGGACATTTATAAGTAGCATTTCATAAGCATATTGAGGAATGTTTTATAGTTGTGTAATTTTTATTCAAATGAGCCATGAAGGACTTTGATTCAAGACTTTACCGTAGTGACTTAGTTTTATATTAGTGGGGTCCTTTCTCAAGGTGGAGTTCCGTATTATTTGATGCCACTTCATTATCTCCTGCAATTTCTCATTTTTGGAAGGAGAAAAATAGAAGCTACATAGCAATAAAGGAGATAAGGAACAGAATTTATTTTTCTTTTCTACTTAATACTTATTGAAATAAATCTTTAGAAGGATTGACTTCCCTGAAGTCTCTCTAAAAACAGCTATGCATATGTAGTTGTATTGGAAGAATTAATGAATATTTCAGAACCACTTAATAGGAATTTTACTCTTCAATGAAAAATTGTATTTCAAAATATGGTTACAGTTTACATAGTGTCAGTCAGACATTTAAACAGGTTTTCATCTGTAGAAAAGTTTAGCATTTTACTGTGTATTTGGACAGATGCAGACAGCTCAACTATAGACTGTCTTTACACTTACAACTAAGGTGATTGTCTCAGAAATTAGGTGAACTCAGGACAACAAAAAGTTGCTTACTAACTACAGTGATCATATAATCTTTGTCAGACTGAAATATTCCTGAGGGTGAAAAGAAATGCTATAAATAATTAAGCCAGAACAACCATTATAAACTAGAACTATTCCTGGCCACTCCTAATAGCTGCTCTTGTTCTGACCGTCATGGACTTTGTATGGCTCAGTCTTCTCCCTTTAGTTCTTGCCACTCCTGGAAGGCCCCTGATCATATATGGCCTTTATTGCACTCATCTCTCCGCATAGCTTGCCTGCCCAAAGCTCCTTGAGGGCAGAGACCATTTTGCATTTATTATTGTAACTTCTTCCACAGAGGGCTGCCCTTCTTAATCGATGGTTTGTCAATATCCATTACATGTTGAATGAGTGATTAAAATTTCTGATTGAGACACACACTTAAGCATGGAGCAAGCCCAGTGTACTGTGTACAAGAAATAGAGCTTGGTTACTCAGAAGTTGCATTGGATTTGAATGGGCTCTTGGTAGGACCAGCAGTTCTGTTACTTTGGCTGCTTGAAATAAAAATTCAGACAACATACAACATAATGGCTAAGAGTCCAGTCTCTGCCAGACACAAACTTAGCTTCAAATCCTAGAACAACTGTCTGTTCTTTGGCAAAGTTGGCCTCTCTGAGCCTCAGTTTCACCCCTTATAAAATGGAAATAATATCAGTACCTACCCCATTGATAATAGAGATGACAATATGTCAAGTATCTTGCTTGGTGCCTACGCATACTATGCCCAGTATCTGCTGGACAAAGATGAATGAATATAACCTCTTAGAACTTTCCTATCAGTTATCCATACTAAGCATACTTGAGCTCTTTCTCTGGTCATGATGGATTGATAAAACCAACCAGTCTGAATTTTTTCAGTTTGACCTTCTTACTAATTGCAAGGATTGCATCTCTGATTGTAAAACAAGTGCTAGTTTTCCCTTGTCTGGAAAGCAAAAATGCCCTCGACCTTTGTTGGGTATTTCTGCTAGGTGGGTTGCTCAGTATCTTTTGTGTGAGTCTTTCATTATTGGGGATAGATTAATCCACCTTTCCTAACAACGCATCTTCATCCCTGAATGTTGCATATCCTGATACAGCAAATCTTTATTTGATCTGTACTCCTAATTCCAATGTTGTAGTACACTGGTTTTTATGTTAAGTGTACGAACAGTCTTATTCTGGAAGGCTTAAGATTGAAAAATACCCTGTCTTCAATACATTTCCTTTAGAAGAGTCTACACTTTAAAGTTAGACTGTGGTTCAAATCTCAGATCTACTACTTATTAGCTCAGGAGTTTTGGACAGGCCTCAGTTTCTTTATAATATAGGGATGATGATACTACCTCATAGAGTTGTTATGAGGAATTAATGAGAAATGGATGTAAAGTGCCTAAATAATATGTTTGTAAGGTGCCTAGAATTCTTACTCATTAATTTTAGATTTTAAAGTAATTTCCATTTTGGGTATCTTACTAACGTTCACATACACACACAAATATTTGTTATACTCAACATGAAAATTCATATGGAACATGTTTTTAGAAGTAAACATGTTGAGAAATAAGACAACTCCTGATGTTTTTCTTGCAGGTATTTCCCTTTACTGGCTAAACAGAAACCTGGGCACCCAGAATGTGATATCCTGACCAATGTTTTTGCAATTCTGTCAGCAAAGAATCTCTCTGAAGCCACAGCCAGTATTGTGATGGACATAGCTGATGACCTTCTTAACCTTCCAGATTTTGAGCCCACGGAAACAGTTTTGAGCTTGCCAGTAACTGAATGCATATACCCAAAAAGTGCAGATGGTATGTATGCTGTATAAAGCAAATGATTCTTAGATTTCTAAGGTACCATTTGTTCTCTCAGGTGGAAAAAGTCAATAGAATTTGACTCTTTTAATAACTTATGCTATTAAAAAATTTTCTTTTCTCTAAGAATGAATACCAGCTTATATAAACTGAATTTTCTTTGCAGTGTTAGAAATTCAGGTAATTTATACTCCAGAAAACTCAACTATCCTCCAGAAAATTATCAGTTGGTTTCAACTGTCATGTCTCTGAATTCTTCCTACTATATTATCCTAATTCTTTTACTGCTAACACAAGTGGCTTAAATAAAGCCTTAGGGGTCTCTTACATAAATTTTCAATTTGGTTAATGGTAATTTTTAATTTGGCTATTTTGACTAAGAAGAAAGTTATTTAATCCTTAGACTTGATAGTTAATAAATTTTCATGCTTTGAGTGCTTTCCATATCTGTCATTATAAAGATATTATACAGTTCCCTTTAAGAGAATAGTTAAAAAATAAAACCAAAACATTTGTCACTATTTATTTCAGAGTCTATCACAGTAGGAGGACGATTAATTCTACCTCATGTACCGGCAATTCTCCAGTATCTAAGCAAAACCACAATAAGTACAGAAAAGGTGAAAAAGAAAAAGAATAGGGTACAACTCAGTAAGGAACTTGGCATTCTTTCAAAGTAAGTGTTACACTGGCTCTCAAAAGATAATATTACCATCTGTAGTTTTAATTTTTCTAAATTATACATTGTTTTTCAGTTGGTTTGATGTGGTCATAAGACTCTATAAAGGTCCTCAGAATTTTTAATGCCCTCCATTTTTAAGTTCATATAGAATTCTCTTGCTCTGCCACAATATTCATTAGAAACCATTTTGGCATCTGATTTATAAAAGACATTTCAAAGAGAACAGTTTTCAAAATTCTAAAGTAGACTAGTAGATTGCTTGTTTAGCCTTTGCATATTTTGATCAATTAAAATTTTGAGTTATGTGATATCACATAGTTTTGAATTTCTAGTTTAATTGAAAAAAGAATTAGTTTAAAAGAGCAGATTGTTTTGTTTTTTTGAGTCAAGATCTTGCAAGGATTTTTAAAGATTCTCTTTCTCATTAGACCTAGTAGCATATAATTGTGATTTCTATAAAATGCAAAGTTGGTAAACCTGAGTGCAAAAAATCACTCTATTTTAAAGTTTGAATGGTTACAGGGCTTAGTTGTTTAAAGTTTTTTTTCTGTTACCTTCAGCAACAACAAAAAATGATATATTAAATCTTCCAGGAACTTCTTTTAGATGTTTTACTTATATTATTGTATTCTAAGTTATACAAAATGGGAAACTATACTAAATGTACTCATTAAATTTTATCACAGGCTATGTGGTAGTGAAAAGATAATGGGAGATTGAGCACAAGGAAGACCATGATTTGAAAGACCTGCTCTACCCCTTCCTGGCTGTGTGATATCTGCTTCTCTTGAGTCCCAGTTTTCTCTGGGCAAACAGGGCTAATAATTCCTACAGTGTAGGGCTGTTGTGGGAGTTAAACTGAATACTATACATAAAGCCTTAAATAAATCATGGCACTTAAAAATGTTCTTTTCTTGCAAAATAAGAAATTACTAATTGCCAGATTACATAGTATTAGAGTTTACTATAACCCACCTATACAATCTGATGTGACAAAAGAAATAGACTAATAGCCATGAGCCCTGAGTTGGAGAGAAATAAGAGTGGGCGCTGCGAAGTAACTGACTGAAACTTTTTATATATGCACACACACTTCAATGCCAAGTGTCTTTCATCACTGATGATTTTCTACAAAACATTTAACTTCTCAGAGTAATACTTTTAACTTGTCTATTTTGCTTACATGCCATTTTTTTTCCCTCTCTAGGATCAGCAAGTTTATGAAAAACAAGGAACAAAGTTCTCTACTTATTACTCTTCTTCTTCCGTTCCTCCACCGTGGCAGTATTTCTCAGGTATAAATTCACAGGACATTTACTTGGTCCTTGAAGGGGCAGTTTACTATTAGATTGGTTTGCGAACAAAAATTTTATTGATTAGATTATGTGGAAAGACTTTATACAGAAAGGTAAAATTGAAAATAGAGGAGAAAAATTGGGACAGAAATAGGAATGGTCGCAGGCAACATAGTGGAGACACCATCATCTACCATAATGGTAGAAGTGTTAGCCCTTTATTTTTCCTTTTTTTACTTCCTAATCCATTTCTGTTTTTTTTCCCCCTCTCTGACTTTGATCAGTAACAAATCTGGAACCCAAGAAGTGCATTGTATAATCCTAAATATGGGTCACAGTGGCAAAACTGAATGAAAAGTCACTGATTTAAATATTCAGTCAGAGTAAAGAGTTTCTGATATAATTTTTAAACTCTAGATCAGCCTTGATTAAAAGAATCTTTCAATGGCTCAGACTCATTTATAAAACCTTTCTTTTATTGAACATCTCTGACCACACAGTAATTCAGTTTAGAAAACCACAGATCTACCAACAATCAAAAGTGTATATTTTTCTTCAGTAAGATCATTTTTCTTTGGCTCTTTTTTGACTGGAGAGTAGAAGAAATTATGTTTCGAAACCACGCGTATTTTCTCTTAGAATTAAAAGAAAAACTGTTAATGGACATTATTGTGGGTTTTATGTTAAATTGAAATGCTAAGAACTTTTAAAAGACTATACAGTAACATTTCCAATTACTACTTTTACTTCTTATTTATAATTACTTGTTTTCTGTGTTATATTAAAACCAAGTTGACCAGTTTTACAAATTACTGAAATATATTTTCTCTTAATATTTTGTCTTAAGGATACAGAGGGTGATATTTTGGTGACAGTACAAAACCTGTTAAAACATTGTCTGGAGCCTACAAGCTTCCTCAAGCCTCTGGCAAAACTCTTCTCAGTTGTTAAGAACAAGTTATCGAGACAATTGCTTTGTACAGTTTTCCAGGTCTGTAATACTCATTTTTATCCCAAATCACCTCTTTTTAAAAAACTATGACATGGAAAGCATATTTGCAGCTTTCTTGGTGCCAATATCGTTTTTATATATAAATTTGAGTGGGGACGGGGTTAAAGGGAGGAGGGCAGGAAAGTTAAAGTTTTATCTAACAGTTTTTTTTATTCTTTGTTTTCTTTTTAGACTCTTTCTGATTTTGACAGTGGATTAAAATATATTACTGATGTTGTCAAGGTAAGAAAGAAATCTTATTTCTCTCTTGCTTCAAAAGTATTATCATTTTTGTTTTAAGATTTTTATATACCTTCATTTATATGGTTTCAATGGCATTTCTTGTAGCTTAACGCCTTTGATCAAAGACATCTTGATGATATCAACTTTGATGTTCGCTTCTCAACATTCCAGACCATCACCTCTTATATTAAAGACATGCAAACTGTGGATGTTAACTACCTAATTCCAGTTATGCATAATTGTTTTTATAATCTGGAGGTAGGTTTTTACAGCAAAAATTTTAATTTTTTAAATTGTTTTGATAATACAGCTACATGATCCAAAAACTTAATTTGTGTTATGAGAAGGACAAACATCTTTAGTAGTTTCTCTTGCAGAATATTTTCTTTGGCAAAGGTTATATTGTTATTCTCACAATTTGAAAGACAAATACTTTAAATAAAATTGTATATGTGGAAGTACTTTGAAAAGTCAAAAAGCTATGTACTAGTATAAACAAATCCATAGAGATAGAAAGTAAATTAGTGGTTACCTGGGGCTGCATGGGGAGGAAGGAATGAGGTGACTTCTTACCAGTACAGGGTTCCTTTTGGGGGTGACAACAGTGTTCTGAAATTAGATAATGGTAATGGTTACACAGCCTTGTGAATATACTAAAAAATCAATGAGTTGTATACTTTAAAAGGGTGAATTTTAGAGTATGACAGATGTATTTCAATTTTTTGAAGTTAACCTTATTATTTGACAGTTTGCCCTCTTTTATATAGTAGAAATTAAAGGTTTGGACTGTATTAGGTACCATGTTACTGAACTGAATTAAAATCCAAAAATGGGGAAACTGAAACCATTGATTAGTAACTGTAGAGTGGCATCAATAATCTCTTTGTGGTGTTTTATTGTTAGTTATCTGATACTAAGGACTGTTTAATATATGTAAAGTAATCTCCCCATTTGGGATTTATTCTTCATATATCCTGTCAAATGCCAACACAGGAATTCTAAATCACAGCTGTTGGCTGAGTTGGGCATACTTTGTCTGCATTTACTACCTGCATTCCTCAAACCAGGAACTCTAGTGCAACTAACCAGAATTTTACTAGTCAACTGTATCATTTTCAGTGATTACCTGATACTGACTATTGAAAACTAGCTTTAGTGAACCTTTTATTCTTTTTGGTCTGAGAAGTAAAACTAACTAAAAGTCTGTTTCATGGTATTTTTTGAAATCAAGTCTACTTTTCAGTAAGCATGACTTTTCTAAGTCATTTATTATATTCCTCACAATCCTGTGTTTGGTTCTTTTTTAAATATATGGAGTAGTTGTGGGAAGCTTTTTAGAAATTTTTACACAGAGCAGTGGCAAAATTTTGTAAACTATTTCATTGGGAAATAGTATTCCATATTATAGGTCTTACACAGAATTTGGGTTTTTTTTCCTGCTTCCAGCTAGGAGACATGTCTTTAAGTGATAATGCTAGCATATGCTTGATGAGTATCATCAAAAAGCTAGCTGCCTTGAATGTCACAGAGAAAGAATATAGAGAAATCATTCATCTTTCACTCCTGGAGAAACTGAGGAAAGGACTGAAGAGTCAGACAGAGGTACTGGGGTTTGCAGCCATAACTTTGTCTTTTAAATACTACTATCCGTGGATTTTAGTTTTGTTTTTCTTTTTCCCTACTTCTTCTGTTATGTAGAAAAGCAGTCAGACTTAGTACATTTAGTTAAAATACTTGATTGTGTAAACATTCACCAGACTTTTAACAGGCAAGCGGGAATAGAAAGGAGAGTAATGACTTCTAATTTCATATAGCTTGTTTTTATAGTGGGAATGTTTCACCTTAAAAAACATTTTAATGCCTTTTTATGTTTTTCTTCATATTATCTAAGAAGCAAGTTCTTTTTAAAGTAAAAAAAAGTTCTTTTCTCAACTTGATATTTGCAGAGTTTTCAACAGGATTATACCACACTGCTTTCCTGTTTAATTCAAACCTTTCCAAATAAACCAGAATTTAAAGACTTGGTACAGCTTACTGACTGCCATGATCCAGAAATGGACTTCTTTGAGAATATGAAGCACATTCAGGTAAGAAGACAATTCTGCTTTTTCTCCCCCCTGTCTATAAAATAAGCATTTCAGACAGTTGTGTCTCATTTAAAAGGGTACATTTTAATTTTCCAAAAAATTTCGAGCTTCTCATTCCTTCGTCTTCATGATCATCAGTCAGATTTGCACAGAAAATTATCATATCCTGGGGTCTGATTGCTTTGGTAGTATCACAAACCACAGAAACAGTGTCACCTTTCTCTGCCATTTCCTAGAAAGTTTAAATGCTTTAGTATCTATTGTTAAACAAATGCTATAGATTGTATCTCTGGAAGCAAATCAAGGCACAGGGTTAACATGTGTTGCTCATGTAACACATGGACAGTATTTCACTCCTTTAATCCTTTCTTGGAAAAGGAACATGATACTGAAGTGGAGCTGGTTATAGCTGCATTTATTCAGTACCTAACTCATATTTTATCTAACTCATAGATACACAGAAGAGCAAGAGCCTTGAAGAAACTGGCAAAACAACTAATGGAAGGCAAAGTTGTGCTGTCTTCTAAATCTCTTCAGAATTACATCATGCCTTATGCTATGACTCCAATTTTTGATGAGAAAATGCTCAAGGTAGGGCATTAGATCTAGAAATCAGCCTCTACTCATACCATGACACACTTTTCCAAAATTTATATGGGATTGGTATCATCTAAACTGATGTTGTCATCATAATTAGAGCCTTAGAATAATTACAAAGCCCTTAGTATTGTGCCTGGGACATAGAACATGCTCTGTAAATGGTGCTATTATTTTTATTTTCATTGTTATTAGTTCACAGAGGCCAACCACAAAATTTTTCCCCTCTTAGAAGTGATCACATTAAGATGATACACTTTTCTTTTGTATCATAGGACTTAATTCTGGTGAACTCCACTAATTAGTAGAATTATTGCTTTCCCAGTTGCTCATAAGAGATTAAATAAAATAGTGTTTATCTTTTCTTTGGTACTATATTAGATAAAGGCACTATTCTAAGTACTTTAATTTGTAATTCTACTTCATCCTTACCACAGCTTAACCCTGTGAGGTAGGCACTGTTTTCACTATTTTACAGGAGAACAAACTGAGAATAAGTGAGGGTGTATAACTTTCTCAGACACACAGAGTCAGAACTGGTGTTTGAACTTAGAGACTGCCTTCACCCTTATACTACATAGTGCCTAGAATAATGCCTGGCACATGGTAAGGACCTGATAAATACTTAAGTGTTTAGATTAATGAAACATGATACTCAGAAACTCAACTCTGATTGAGGTAATTTCAGGATTTATGACTTGAATTTATATTGTATTGATTACATGATCTTCTGCAAATGTAGGTTTCCTCTGTTTCAGAATATTCAAAAATTTTTTAGAAATTACCTAAGTAAATAAAAGAATACTCCCTAAATTCCAGTTTAAAGTGCCAGTAAACCCAAAAAACTCAGAGTTTGATGGTAGTAAAATAGGAAGAGGTGGAGATACACAGAAGAGGTGTAAATGGAAAAAATAAATTATATTTAGCTTTGCTTGGTGTTAGCAGGGTATATCTTTTTATAGTGTTTGATTTTTAACCTATTTGTGACTTTATATTTAAAGTTGGTTTCTGGTAGGTAGCATATAGCTGGATCTTGCTTTTTTTATCCATTCTGACAGTCTGCCTTTTAGATGGCTTTAGACCATTTACACATGACATGATTATTAATAGGGTTGGGTTTTAATCTTTGATCTTATTATTTATTTTCCATTTGTCCCATTTCTTTTTCTCTTTTACCTTTTCTTTCTTTTATTGGATTAATTGGATATTTTTTAATGATTTTATTTTCTCTCTGTTGGCTTATTGATTAACATAGAGCTATTTTCCTTTTCTAGATTTTACTTGTACATTAGTTTTAAACCACACAGTACATTGTTGTTATTTTTGTCAATTATCTTTTAAGGAGATCTTTAAAAATAAGGAAAAGAATTTCATCTTTGCTTACATATTTATAATTTCCAGTGCTCTTCATTCCTATGTATAGATCCATATATTCATTTTACATCATTTTACTGCTGATGGGAAGACTTCCTTTAAATGTTTTATAGTTCAGGTCTACTGGTGATTAATTCTTTCAGCTATTGTTTGTCTTTCATCTCTGTTTTTGAAAGATAATGTTTCTGAGTACGGAATTCTAGATCAACAGCTTTTTTTCTTTCAGTTATTTAAAGATATTGCTCTGCTGTTTTCTGGTTCATATAATTTCTAACAAGAAGTCATTCTTTGTTCATCTGAGTGTAATGTACCTTTTTTCCTTTCTGGCTGTCTTTAGAATTTTCTCTGTATCACTGGTTTTAAGCAATTTGATTATGATGTGCCTTACTGTAGTTTCCATCATGTTTCTTGTGCTTGGGGTTCATTCAGCTTCTTGAGTCTGGATTTGTAGTGTTCACCAAACTTGGAAATTTTGGTCACTAGTTCTTCAAAGATATATTCAGGTCAACTTCTTTCCTTGGAGACCTGAGTGTACATTAGGCCATTTGAAGTTATCCCATAACTCACTGAGGCTCTTTTTATAATAGCTTCTTTTTTCTGGGTTTTGTTTCATTTTTCTGTTGCTGTCTTCAAGTTCACTAATCTTTTCTTCTACAGTGTGTGATATGCTTTTAATTCCATCCATTGTATCTTCCCTTTCAGAATTATCTCTTCCAGTTCTAGATGTTCAGTGTGGGCCTTTTTATATCTTACATGGCTCTCCTTAATATGCTTGCTAACTTTTAAGGTACTTTTCTCCTTAACTTTCCTCTCCCTTCTCAATCATATGGAGTGTAATTATATCAGTTATTTTACTGTCTTTGTCTAATAAGTCTATCATCTGTGTCATTTCTGGGTCTGTTTCTATTGGTTTATTTTTCTTCTCATTTGAGATATGTTTGTGCTTGTTCGTATGCCTCTGCAGCTTTTCTTTCTGTGTAGCTCTCTCCATTCTTGTCCACTGCCCTATGGACTCCATCTGTTGCAGCCTCAACTCTGCCTCCTTAACTCAGGGAGACCACTGGGCCTTAGTGATTTAGGGTAATTATAAGGTACACTTCATTTTGTTTCCTTTTTCTCAGGAAGCACTCTTCTGCACTCTTTGATGTCCAAATCTGAAAACTGTTGTTTCACATATTTTTGTCTACTTTTCTGTTTTAAAGTGTGATGGTAAGTCCAGTCCCATCATCTCCATCATGGTATGAAAAAGATGTCTCCAAGGTAGTGTACTTTTGAATGCTGAGTAGTGCAATCTGTAGGTAACTTTGGCATTTATCAGCTTTTACACATCGAATTTATTTCATTCACAGTTTGTAGGCTTGAACCCATCAGGGAAGTTTAAGTGAAAAATGTGTTAATATCCTTAATTAAAGGAAGGTGTCATTCCTTTAACTGACAGCATCTTTACCTAGACCTGGGGTAAATAGAGTATAGTTTGAGCATTCTTTCATTTCTGTAATTGTTGACCACTTACTAAGTTTTTCAGTGTACCAAGTTAGCTCTGTATTTTACGAGCAAATGCTTGTTCTATGTTGATATTCTTAATTTGTTTTTTACAGCATGAAAATATAACTGTTGCTGCCACAGAGGTTATTGGAGCTATTTGCAAACATCTCTCTTGGTCAGCATATATATATTACTTGAAACATTTCATTCATGTGTTACAGACAGGACAAACCAATCAAAAGCTGGGTGTCAGGTATGGTCATACTTCTTATTTTTGTTTTGTTTTGTTTTAAAATGTAAATTTTGGATTATTTCCTGAGATAGTCTTTCTGTAATCTTAGTTTATATTTACCTTGCATTAATGAGGTTTATGCTAATGCTTGCTGAAGTCAAAAGTATCTAAAACTGGTAAAAATAATTTTAATGTTTATAAATCTTCAGATTTCCTCTCCTTTTAGTTATCAGATATTAATCAAATGAACGTTTCTGTGTACCTTTTTTTAAACAGTTTGCTAGTGACAGTACTAGAAGCATTCCACTTTGACCACAGAACTCTTGAAGAACAAATGAGAAAAATTCAGAACAAAGGAAGTAAGTTTTTAAAACTCTTAAACTAGATTTCCATCCTATTCTTGGATAATTTGTGGTGGAAATGTGATGGCAAAATTCAGCATATTCCCTTTTTCTGCTACTCCTGTAGCAGCAGCCAGTGAATGAGTTAGAAGGCAGTTAAAATGAATGGTTTGCATATTCTTGTGAAAACTTATTTAATAATAGAGAGGGCCAGTCTAGATTTTAAGGGTGAAAAAAATCTGAGGTGCAGATTACATAGAAGTCCAGTTTTATCACCTACATGTATGGAAAGAGCATTAAACAATAAATGCAGAGAAAGTACAAGAAAAGAATTAAACCTTAGAGCAACAATTAAATATGAAGTAGATACAATAAGAAAGGATTATCAAAGCTAAAAATAGATACTTGAAAAGATTATGTCAACCAAGAAAAGGAGGCAAAACTGAAAAAGAACAAAGGCCTTTTATTTGGAGTCTTAGAATTGCAATTTGGGGACTACAGATTAAGAGTAACCAGAAAAGTGTCCCACTTGTGAGGAACACTGGGATTTTTTATGAGAAAAAGAAGGTGGTGGGGGGTGTAATTACATGTCTTAGATAAAGAAGAGAAAATTTAAAAAATCGTTAATTTAGTGTTAACTGATTGAGCCACTTTTGATTACCTTTTGATTGATTATATTCGTGCTGTTAAACAAAACTATTCTTGGGATACATTAGTTAACTATTCTGTTACCATAAAAGTTCTTATGAACAGTTTTATGGTCTGAATACCAGTTCTATCAGATTTTATGAGCAACTACTTATAAAAGAATTACTGATTCTGGCCCTGTTCAGTAGTTTACTAGTTAGGAAAATGGAGCTGCAAATTGGAATCTCTCATGTCCAGAAATTTTATACAGTTCCACAGTTATAATTGGCAAATCTCTGACAAGATGAATCAGTGAAGTTAGAGAGCATAATAAACAATATTAGGAATTTTTTTAAAGGTCGCAATTAAATGAAGAAGATAAAATTATGATCCTTGTTCATTATAAATACTTGGGTGAAATGTACAAATTCTTAGAAAAATAAAATACAATAATAGACTTTAGAAGAAATAGAAAATCTGGATGGATCTCTAACCACTAAAGAAATTAAACATCATTAAAAATCTTTTGATAAAAATGCAAGGCTCAGACTGTTTTATAGGCAAGTTCTGCAGATATTCAAGGAAATGAGTAATTTCAACCTTACACCAGGTATTTCTATCCCAGATGACTGAAAAAAGAAGTTCCCGCTAACTTAACATTAGTGTAATTGGTTACTGGAATTTAACACATTAGCATACAAAATAATGTGATCATCTAAGTAGACACAGAGGAAATATTTAATTAAATTCAATATTCACGATAAAAGTGAATATCAGACAACAAACAGATAGAAATTTCCTTAAACTATTAAGAGATGTCTTTAAAAACCTAATGCAACATCATAATCAATGGTAAAGGATACACTGAACTAGAGATTCTAGCCACACAGGAAAATAAGTAAAAGAATGAACACTTAAGTGGTCTAAGGTATTTATCCTAATTCTTTCAGCTAAAGACATTGAAATATTCTGGCCTTCACTTTGTACTTCCTACGTTCCCCAGTGTTCTTCCTACTCAAAATTTTCTAATTCTTTGATTCATTATGGTAAAATCACTCTAGAGCGATACCAATAGAAAAGACTGGTTTGAATCTGTAGGAACCATTTGTGTTTTAAACAATGTACTAAAGCCTCATAACAATTTATCTTCAATCAGTTGAATCTGCATTTTGCATAAACAGAAACATTAAAAAATTAAAATAATTTGCTTAACTTTCTCTTTTCCTCTTAGATATGGCTTAAGTTGGAAAATGTTTGAGTACCTACTATGAGTTGGGCTTTTATAGACGTTATCTCATTTGTCCTCATAAGAATCTTACAGGAACCCTAGTAATTGGTTACCCTCTGTTTTTGATGTGAGATACGAAGGTTCAGAAATGTAAAGTAAAAACTTAGCTGCTATTATGATTTTAATGCTCATAAATGTAGGTCTTTGCTTTTGGAAATAACATTTTGGAGGCTTTCTTTTGGTTCAAACCTTCCTGTCACCTAGCCTCCCAATGTGTCCCAAAGTATCCTGTACTTGCTATTCCACTTTTATAATTGCCAGTTTACTTACCTGTGTTCCTCACTAAACTCTAAACTGTAAGAAAGCAAAAAAAACCCATAACCCTCTCATTTATTAGTTTCCTCAGTACTTAATCTTGTCTGCCCATAGTTGGTGACCAGGTATTTTTTATTGGATGTTGGTGGGAAAAGCCACTTAACACAACTGTGTTGTTTTTTTATTTGATTTAAGGTGACACTTGTTATTTACTAAACATAGACACGATAGAAGTGACTGAGTTGCCAGAGCATGAACCGACGGAATCAGAGCGTATGGATGAGAATGAGAAGGAAAATAAATGTGAGAGTTCGTCATACAGCAATGAAGAACTGGGAAACCCTGATCCAGCCGACTGTGATGGAACATCAGCTAAGGAATCGGAGTATGTTTCGAAGTCCATCTCTTTCCTTCCTCGGAATAAGGAAGAATTGGAGAGAACAATTAAAAATATCCAAGGAACCATAACTGGAGACATCATACCCAGGCTACATAAATGTCTGGCATCTACGGTAATCATTCTCTTTGGAGCCCAGCAGGTCTGTGGGAACTCTGGTGTTTGTGGAGCCCTGTCAGACCAAGTCTCCTGACTGTTTTCGGTTGACTTCAGCTCTTGGATTTTCTTCTGTCTCAGCATTTCACAGTTCATCTCCTTTCTCTTTCCTCATCATCTTCAGGTTCATCCGCTGCAGCTAGGCAGTAGCGTTTTTTCCTTCTTTATGATTTAAGTATGGTAGATATATGCTTTTCTATCTCCAAAGTAGATATTAAGCTTTCCAAAAAAAGCTTATGAAAAGTTAGAGTATGTTTCCCTTTCCAACTTCTTGGCCATTTCTGTACTGTTCAGAATTCATCTTCCCCCTGGTTAACAGTGATAACATTTAGTAGTGGATTCTCATGAAACTGGAGCCTTTCCTTCTCGGTATAAAACATGATTAGGCAAACTGTGGCTCATGGACTGAATCTAGTCTGCAGACTGTCTTTGTAAATAAAGTTTTATTGGAACACAGTTAAACTCATTTATTTACACAATGTCTAATTCTGCTTGTGCATTACCAAGGCAGAACTTAGTAGCTTCAACAGAGATCATAACGCCCAAATACTTACTGTCTGGCCCTCTACAGAGAAAGTTTGCCATCCCCTGGTATAAAATACTGACTTGATCATTTTTTATCTTTGTAAATCTTATTTGAGGCACTGGATTTCTTATGTACTCTATTTCTTACATCACTCACACACGTGAAGTCCCAATAAACACAAATTTGATTTTTTTATATTTCATAGCATTCTTAACCCACATCAGTGAAAACTTAGCTTTATTGTTTTTTCTGGTTGCTTCTTTGGAAAAAAAAACTTTCTTACTCTAATCCTTTATATACATATATACACACACACACACACATACACATAATTTTTAGAGACTAATTGTAAAATTGCATAATTTAATTTGTTTTTTAAGACACTAAACTTAGATATGGACATAAGATGTATCAAAAGAGTTTACCTTCCAAGTGTAAGGTTGCAATGTTTTTAGGTCCTTGATCCATTTATTTTCATTTTAGTTTAACCTAAGTTTTTCTTACAGACTAAAAGGGAAGAAGAACACAAGCTCATAAAATCCAAGGTTGTGAATGATGAGGAAGTAGCTCGAGTTCCTTTAGCTTTTGCCATGGTTAAACTAATGCAGTCCCTTCCACAGGAAGTTATGGAAGCCAATCTGCCAAGGTATGCTGTGTGACAAATTAGGAAAATTCAGTGAAACTCAAAAAGTGATACTTTCTGACTTTTAAACCTCTTTTGTGAGGAAGAGGAAAAGTACTATCACAGTTTGCTGTAGTTTAGAATCCTAAGTGGGAAATGTGAGTTATGAACAATTAAGCAAAAGGATGTGAATATCTTAATTTGCCTGTTTTTTGTTAGTCATTTTTCAATTTCTCACTTTCTAGTATTCTGCTCAAAGTGTGTGCCCTCCTCAAAAACAGAGCACAGGAAATCAGAGACATTGCACGGAGCACCCTTGCAAAAATAATAGAAGATCTGGGCGTGCACTACCTACAATATGTTTTAAAAGAATTACAGTCTACCCTTGTCCGTGGATATCAGGTAAATCCATATTCAGTTGGGTTGAAGTTCAAATTTTTGCAGTTTGAACACTGTAAGTCATGTTTGGGATGTATCTTCAGTAATGTTGATCCATGGAGATAACAATTAAGAATATTCAAAAGTTTCTATCAGTATTTTTAAAATCGTTTTTTGTTTATAAAAAAGCTCCTATACTTGATTTTTGTAAAGATCCTTATAAGCGTGGGTTACATAACCTTTCTTTTTCTCTCAAATCACTTGATACCAAGTTTCATGTTCTCAAGAGTTCTTATAAAATTTCTTTTTGAAAACATATTGAATGTATTGCCACAAATGTAAACAATAAAGAACATACACATTTGTTTAAGTGTTGAAACATATAGTAAGATCTTCAGATGAATACAAACCTCTTTGAGTAATTTACATGACTCGCTCCTCACTACTGCAGGTGTGGGCCCTGGACAAGTGCTGTCAGCACCAACTGGGATCTTGTTAGAAATGCACAGTTTAAGGCCCTACACCTAAAATGCAGTATCTGCCATTTAATAAGATCCCTGAGTTTGAGAAGCATTGTGGCTTATTCTTTTCAAGAACCCAGTCAAGACTCCAGGTAGTCAGCTTTACTTGCTGTATCCTGATTTGTTCATAGGTAATGTTCCTGTTCTATAGGTTATATAACAAGTCTAACATGCTAAAAATACAGTATCCATTTTGACTGCCTCTCTTTGCATAGTTTTTTAATGATTGCTCTAGGGGTTATCATATACATACTTAATTTTAATAATCTGCTCAAAGTCAGTATTTTGCCACTTCAAGTGGAATGTACTTCTTTTGTCTTACAGTTGTTTGTATATAACATCTACATCTCCATTTATTGAAAACATCAGGGATATTTTTTTTAGTCACTTTAAATTGTCATATTTTTAAAAGCTGCAGAGGAGAAGCGTAGTCTATTATTTTACCCAGATATTTATCATTTTTACTGTTCTTCCTTTGTTTCTAAATTGCCAAGTCTCTTTCTGGGATCATTTCCCTTCAGTCTAAAGAACTTCCTTTAGCAATCTTGTAGACCAGGGATGGTGGCAGCACGTTCTCTGAGTTTTCCTTCATCTGTGAGTGTCTCCACTTCACCTTCATCCTTGAAGGATACTCTTACTGGATATATAACTCTCCTTTTTAGTCCTTTTCTTTTAGCACTTTGAAAAATTTTTTTTTTTAAGTTGAAATTTTGAAATGTTTAAAACATTCCTTCTGGCCTTTCTGAGTAATCCAGCTGTTCAAAGAGTTGTTCCCCTCTACTGTAGCGCATCCTTTTCCTCTGGCTGCTTTAAAGACTTTTCTTTGCCTTTGTTCTTCATCAATCTGATTATGATGTGCCTGAGTGTGGATTTCTTTGGGTTCATCCTGTTGAGATTTGCCAAGCTTCTCAACTAAATTTGGAAGGTTTTCAGCCATTATTTCTTCAAACACTATTTTCCGCACTGCAGTCTGTCCTTTCCTGGGACTCCAGTGAAAGGACTATTAGGTGTTTTGTCTTTGTCCCACGAGTCCCTGAGGTTCTGTTCATATTTTTTTTTTCTAAGTTCTTCCTTTCTGTTGTTTAGATTTGAGTAATTTCTGTTGATCTCTGTTCAAGTTCAGTGACTCTTCTCTCTTTCATCTCCATCTCACCTTTGGGCCCATCCAGTGAGTTTCTTATTTTGGTTATTGGGTTTTTCGGTTCTCAGATTTCCATTTAGTTCTTTGTATCTTGTTTCTTTGCTAACACTATTTTTCCATTGGTTTCAGCCCTCCCACTAGAAAGCTGGGCCTTTATTTCTCTTGTTGTGCCCTGCACTTCCCACAACTGCACCCATGTCAGGGGGCAAAGGTAGCAAGACAGAAAAAGAAAAGCCACTAGCATTTGCCTGCCCTCTCAGAACAGCAGTTCCACTGGAGGAGAGGAAGGGTCTCCCCAACACAGTTGTGGTTCCTGTCAATTCCCATTTCTAGGCTACTGCCACCACCATCACTAGGATCTTTGCGGGCTGGGATATGAGAAAATGGAGAAAAGAAGAGGGAAAAAAACAGTATTCCTCACTCTCTCACATTAGAGTTCCTATTCTGCAAGCCACAGGCTGCTCCGATAGTTCTGTGCACCTTGGCATCCACTGCCATGTTGACTGAGGGATGCTGACAGTGGTGAACTCACTGGAGGTTTGGGAGTACCTGCATTCTAGTTTCTTCCCCAGTAGCTGCTCCCTGCATCCTGTCCAGGTGTTACAGCTGCATTCAGAGGGAGGGACAGGGTAGAGTGTGCTTTTTCCATATTACCTGGAACCAGAGCCTCTGTCAGTTCATTTTTATTCTGTTCTTTCAACCAGCATTTATGTCTTTGCTACTTTGTGTGAGGTGCTCTATTGGGCACTGGGTGTATAAGGATAAATACAGTATATCTCCACTTGAGGACTTATATTGTAGTGGAACCCGAGGCATTTAAATGAGGAGCACTTTTTTCCTAAGCGCCTGTGTTAAAGTCCCTTCCATTATTTGTTAAAATAATTAAAGTAAGGGTGAGAGAATAACTAGTAAGGGTGAGAGAATAAAATTTTGTAGACATTACCAAAATTGTACTTTGAGTACATTTTTCATATATAAAGGCATAAAAACATTTTAAATATATAAAAATACATTAAGACCACAAGTAGATACACATGAAATTATGCCTTTAAAAATCTAGTCTATCTATTGGCAATTAAATATGTTTCCTTAGCCTATGATCATTATCTGATGTTTACCAAGATAATTTTACAGCAGGAGAAGCATTTAGTGTAAAGAATGCAAAAAGCTTGCGAGGCAGTGGGGCATAGTGATACAAACCTGGGGCTTTGGCACCAGTGCTTCTGGTTTCAAGTCCTCCACCACTGTCTCTACCCATGTATCACTTGATCTCTCTGTGCCTTAGCTTCCTCTTCCAAAAAATGCTAATAATACTGCACGTACACCATAGATAGAGTGGATATGGATTAAATGATTTAGTACATGTGAGGTGTTGATACAGTGCCTAACCCATAGTCAGCCCTTAGGAATGTTAGCTATGAGTACAAAATGTTAGCCATTGAGTACAAAAACTTGTCTGTTTCCTTCATAACACTTTATGTACCAGCTTTGATTGCATTCAGCATCGGCAAGCTTCTTAAATCACAGCTTGTTTTTTTAAGTTCAAGACTGTATGTGCTTATCTTTATGAATCTGGTCTGGTTTAATCATAGAAATAGATCCTAAGCATGGCAATGTGTTTCTGAGCATCTCTTATACAAAGTGATCATTTGGTTAGAGGCTTTTAGATGGTAATATAAGTATGTGTCATTTGTCAAGTGGCTCCCTACAATAATCACATATATAAATGGACTGCTGTCTTTGCAGTACTTCTCAGATCTTATTTTTTCCATTGTGGTATTCTTAGCTATTCATATATTTATTGTGCATTTAATTTTAGGTCCATGTGCTGACTTTCACTGTTTACATGTTGCTCCAAGGCCTCACCAACAAGCTACAAGTTGGAGATTTGGATTCTTGTTTAGATATAATGATTGAGGTAAGATTTAGAGAAGGAGTACTAATTGTTTTTTTAAGTGGACAAATGACACAACAAAATTAGTTCACAAAATAACAAATAATAATAGTGCATAAAAATGAAAGTAACATACTATCTCATCTCTTAGATTAGCAGAGGTAGTATAAAAAGCTAAGATGAAGGGAGATGGGTGCTCTGCCATTGCTAGTAGGTCATACATTGGTATGAATTTCCACGAAAGAAGTTGGCATTGTGAATCAAGGGCTTTTGAAATGACCAAAAATTTCAGCCACTTCCAAAAATCTGTTTTAAAACAATAATCTAAGGTGTGGTCTAGGATTTATATAAAAATATGTTCACCAGAATTTTATTTATAATAGTGAAAAATTAATAATAATCAATTGTTTAAATAGGATAATGTGACAATTTGGGGAGTAAGATTAGGAAGAGACTAAATTTTCCACAAAACCTTTTTGTTCATCCATTTAAAATGTAGGCATTGACTAACGTTTTGAATTAAATGTATTAATTTTGATAATTACAAATATGAGAGTTTGTAAAGAGAAATTAAGCTACTCTTTGGTATTAAAGTGCCTGTCTGCATAATATACAATGATATATGTAAATCTATTTACTATTTCTTGCTTCCCCTTAGTATAAACCTTCAGGTGTTTCTGTATTGTCTGTTACTAATTCGTCCCTAAAGGTCCTACCAACTCATGACCTACTAGCTTTTTAAACTTCTGGTAACTACATTGAAAAAAGGGAAATCTACCATCTATTTTCAGTGCTGTGCAATTTACTTTCCTTGATTATCAAAATGCTCTTTTCAAAGACTGCTTGTGTTGACATATCTTGCTGAGTACACATAATTGCCATTTGGCTTTTTTCTTTCAAGATTTTTAACCACGAGTTGTTTGGTGCTATTGCTGAAGAGAAAGAAGTAAAGCAGATCCTCTCCAAAGTTATGGAGGCACGAAGAAGCAAGAGTTATGATTCCTATGAAATCCTTGGCAAGTTTGTTGGAAAAGATCAGTTTACAAAACTTATCCTTCCATTAAAAGAGGTAAGGTCTTGAATGTAATACAGGAGATCACTACACTAACTGTATCATCATGCTTGGTGTTGTTCTTGAAGAACTTCTTGCAGGATAAACCTTAAACTGCACTTGACCAGGATTTCCTTCGGTGCTAAGGGCACCATACCATGTCCTGGGTAAGGAAATAGCTATGAAGTGCTGAGGGTTTTGTTGAGGTTGGTGGTCCTATAAGTTCCTCTGCTTTGGCCCAGTAACTAACATCAAACCCTGAGGGTTGGCCATTGCACTACTTCATTAGCACTGTTTCCTATGACTGCATTTTGTTAACGTGTGTGCGTGTGCATGCACACATGCACACACACACAGGTGCTTACCTGTAAACCACCTCCTTTTAATGCACTTGGAGAGTTGAGGTCTTCCAAGTATTAGAGCATATCTCCAGCCATGTAACCTGAGGCCTCACCAGCAGCATCGAGGGAGTGCAAAAACTCCAGAGGCACACACAGTGCTGATAATGGCTCTCCCTAAAGGTTGATGTTTTGGGTAAATACTATTTTATATATTATTTCTATGTTTGCAATTTTATTAAGAATTTTTTTAATTAGAAAAAAATATATTAAAAAGCAAATAAATATTAGAAAAACTACCACTACAACAAATCAAAAATACAGTTATGTCCTTCCTCAGCATGACATTTCTGTTTGTCTTCAGATCTTACAGAATACCACAAGCTTAAAAATGGCCCGGAAAGTTCATGAAACCTTACGACGAATCATAGCAGGATTAATTGTAAATCAGGAAATGACGGCAGAATCCATTCTATTGCTCAGTTATGGTTTGGTCAGTGAAAATCTCCCCCTGTTAACAGAGAAAGAAAAGTAAGTCTGAAATAAAAGAATCTTTTTGGTGCTTGCTTCTGGTAAACCATTCAGTTCTTTCTTACTCTTAAGTGGGTTAATTTAAAATTTTACTTTAGTACAAAAAAAAGAAATACTACATTTATTTGAGTTGTAACAGTCAGGCTGAGGTCCTTCCAACATGAGACACATCTCAACCTGAGGTTATTTTTCTGATGCATGAGTAGCTGTGACAACAGCCAGTTTTTGGCATTTCTCTGATAACATTTCTGTTTTATATATTTATTGAATCAAAATTAGGATACATTTTAAATATATACCTCTTGTTCTGATTAAAGAGAGATTAAGATCTTAAAAGATTTAAAAATACCTTATTAGGAAACTTCCTTTGGGTTTTGCTTCTGTGTTGTAGAAGAAACTCTTTGACATTTGTTTTCAGAAATCAAAGAAAGATCTGTGTCCTTTGCTGTTCATCTTAATTTAAATGTGTGTTCATCAATCTGACCTGTTTCTTGGGTTCTACCAACCTTTATCAACAACTTAATAATCTCTCAGTGTCTTGTGGTTATGGGAGAAAAAAGCCCAGAGCAAAGAGCACATTATTTATTACTAGACTCTCATCTCCAGAGAAGGCCACAGTAACTTCTTAGAATGCAGTATGGAATGTTCTTCCCCTAAATTTCATTCCATTGTGATTGACAGAAATCCAGCAGCCCCTGCACCAGATCCACGTCTACCGCCTCAGAGCTGCCTTCTGCTCCCCCCAACTCCAGTTCGAGGTGGACAGAAAGCTGTTGTGAGCAGGAAAACCAACATGCACATACTTATTGAGTCGGGGCTTCGGGTAAGAATTAACCTTAAACTGAGACTTGCTGCCCACGGTGAATCTGTGCCTTTTAATCCTCTCCTGCATTTTCAGTACTGCTCATTTCCATTGTACATGCCTTACTGTAAGTAATGTATGGAATACTTTTTTTTTAAAGATGGATTGGTCCATTTACTATTTATCTCTTCTAGAACTTACTTTAATGATATAACTGTCTCAGAATGAATGATTCTGACCTAGTATCTATTATGATTTCACTGTTGCTTTGCCCATGAGCATCTATAAACTATGAATTTTTTTAAAAAGATACCAGCTTTTGGGCATAGAAGCCACAGGGCATAAATCTGCAAAGAAGTAAAAAGCTAACCTTTTCAAACAATATGGCTTCTCTCTCACTTACCAACTTTACATTTCCCTGTATGGCCCCGGAAGATGACTGGTTAGCCAGAGACGGGTAAGATTCCTCAAGGGAGGAACAACCTAAGATAGGCACAGTTGCAGGGGGGCCATCAGGTGAGAATTTGGGGATCAACAGAGGTGAGGCTCAGAACCTCACCCCCCCTGCTTTGAGAGAAATCTTCTGCATCCGTNCCTTAGTTCCAGTTCTAGGAAAAGTACAGGTAGAAAGGAATTTACAAGTTTCCTTGGAAATATAGCCAAGCTGCATGCTATCATACATGGTTAAAAAACCTGGAAAATGATAGGAAAAGCTATTATAGAACAGAAGTAGGACAAATGCCACATTATTTATATCAAGCAAACTTCAATATAATAATGATATTATTTTGAATACTAAATACCATTACTAAGAGAATTCATAGCTGTCCTGTTTAAAAGGAAAAAATCACATTCTTAAGATCTGGGACTTATAAGACACACAACGTTTATTCAACCTAAATTTCCTTTAAAACAAACAGACTGTCAATCACACAAAACCTTTTCTCTAGGACCTAGACTAAAATGTTATGAATTAAAAGAAAAAAGTAATTGAGATGGATTAATGATTGTACATTGAGCATTGACCTCCCTATACTGAATTTTATTGTTGTTAACAACCATTTGATCAATAAATATGAGAGATGCCCTCTAAAAAAAAAAAAAAGATACCAGCTTTTAAAAACACAAACCTGATCATTGCATTTCCTTTTTAAAACCCTTCACTGGCTCCCATTTTTCTTAGGAGAGAACTCAGTCCTTCATTTGGGCTACAAAGACCTAGCCTCATATTGTACCATTCCAACCCATGTTCCAGCCACACAGATTTCCCATCAGTTCTATAGTCATCACACTCTTCCTGCCCCAGAACCTCATCACCTACTCCTCCCTCTAACCAGGTCCCTGCAGAACTCTCAAAGCCTTCTGCATATATAGTTAATTATTTCTTATAGTCTGTCTTCCTCACTAAGATCGATCCAGCAGGACAGGGACTTCTTGGTCATTATTCAGTGTCCACCTTGGCCATTGCTGCATCCTGTGTGCTTGGAATCAAAGTAGCAGATGTTGAGTAACCATCTGGTAAATGAACTTATCTTTAACATCTGAGCTGCACAGTGAGCTTCCATCTTCTTCCCTTACTGAGACTCTCCCAGGCAGTTCCCCATTTCTTCAAAATATTTGTCACTTCAAATAGAAGTATCTTAACATTTTGCATATGTCTCTTAAACTCGTTTTATCTTATGGGCAACTGACATGAAATATCTTTTTAAATCTTTCAGCTGCTACATCTGAGTCTGAAGACTTCCAAGATCAAGTCTTCAAGTGAACATGTTCTAGAAATGTTGGATCCTTTTGTGTCTCTCCTTGTCGACTGCTTGGGTTCCATGGATGTAAAAGTAAGCATCTGTTTCTTCACGAGAGCTTTGTTGTGCAAAATACCTAGAACTTAACTTCTGGGTTCATGCTTCACAAGATGGTTGAGATTTTTAAGGGATTTCTGACATGATGAATTACCTCTATTTCCTGCATTAAATTGCTTCACAATTTAATAATCCCGTATGTTTGGATAGCCTTGAATAGTTTTTAAAGCCCTGTGAGCACATTATTTATTTCATTTGATCCTTGCAGCAACTTCATGAGAATGCGTGGTGGTGTCCCCATGTCAGTAATCACCATCATCATCCTTGTCATTACTTCTACTTCCTGCTACAAATCCTCATCACAACCCATTAGGCATACGTTACTGATGTTTCTGTTTTATAGATGAGAAAACTAAGCCTTAGGCTAAGTGACTTGGCCTAGATCCCAGAACTAAGCTATGAGCCTTGGTCCGTCAGACTCCAGTGTCTGCTCATCTCTCGTTTCCTCAGATTGCCTGTTTTTACAGTGAAGGTGTCAAGAGGTTAAGTAACCTCTACAGTCAAACGGGTGACAAACTGAGAGCTAGGGTTTAAGTCTGGGTATTTCTGACTCCCATGCCCTTTTCTCTGTGTCTGCATCTAATCCAGCTCAATAAGACTATCACAGCAATCAGGGCAATATGGGTCTACTAGGAAGAGCTGAAGTAGGTGGACTAGCTGGTCTAAGCAGCCTTTAAGGTTTAGCCTGGAGTTCAGGGATTCTCATGTAATCACTTGGTCCAGCACACTTTTTTCACATCTTTTGCATAGCATTTATCTATATTACAGTTCACTGTTTCTGGGCTTAATTTCTGAGCAAGCTATTTGCTTCTTAAATGTAGCAATGGCATCCTTTTCATCTTTGTATATCTAATACTTAGTAGAGTGCTTTGTATACACAATATAATCTTAGAATGGATTAAATTGAAGTACCATTCTAGAAAAAAGAAGTCATTTATAATTCACATTTCTACAAAGAAAACTGCCAAAATTGGCTATCCCATATAGGTTAATATGGTGAGTACCTTTTCTTATTCAGTGAGGATATGCAAGCACATACCTTCAGTTGCCCTGGAGAAGCAGTACTTGTACATCGGGGAATAGCAAGACCTACACTTTGGGCAGAGATTTTCCAAAGTGGACTAGGCAGAGCATTTCACTCCTTCAACTTGATTGCTTATAGAGTCTACACAGCCTCAAGTGCTGGGTTATAGGGTTTGGTCACTTCTTAAGTGGATTGGTTTTGTTTTTGTCTTTCAGGTGATCACAGGTGCTTTACAGTGCCTGATTTGGGTCTTGAGGTTCCCTCTGCCCTCCATAGAAACAAAAGCAGAACAGCTGACGAAACACCTTTTCCTTTTGCTGAAGGACTATGCAAAACTTGGGGCTGCCAAGGGCCAGAACTTCCATCTGGTGGTAAATTGTTTCAAGGTGAGATGTTTTCACTTGCACTTAGGAACAACCAGGGCCAGGATTAATATCAAAGTTAGTTTTCCCCATTGTCCATGGTCAAATTATTTTTCCAGATCACTTTGCTAAGGCCCAAGGGTTGGTATCCTGTGTGAAAAAGCATTGATGTTGTGCTGAGTCCTTAACCACTTCGCTGGATCTTGATTTGTAAGCTGTCCTGGCTATTAACCTCACTATTGTAACTTGCAGTGTGTAGCCATACTTGTAAAGAAAGTGAAGTCTTACCGGATAACTGAAAAGCAGCTGCATGTTCTGCTGGCATATGCGGAGGAGGACATTTACGATACTTCAAGACAAGCCACTGCATTTGGTCTTCTGAAGGTATGGTGTCACCAGAATGTTGGATTTTACAGTTTATAAGCCTCATGTCAGATATTTAGAATAATGCGGAAAATGCATTTTGGCTACCTGTAAATTTCCAAAATTGACTTATAAACATTGTTATTTTGGTGGATTAATTATAAACTAATGTATCTACTAATTAAAATGTTTCAACATGAGCTCTCTGACACTTCCATGGAATTATGTACAAATACATGCTACTCTGCTTGTATTTATTGTATTGGACATCTTTTTTTAATTGCAGTAAAATATATATACAATTCACAATTTTAACCATTTTTAAGTAAATGTTCTTTTTCTTCTGGAGATACTTTCATTATGTTTGAAAAGTGCCTCTGACTGTATTAACATCAGGTCAGCTTATGCCCATCTACACTAAAACTTGAAATGAGTATGTCTTTTCCTTTTGTACTTTAGGCTATTTTATCAAGAAAGTTATTGGTCCCAGAAATTGAGGATGTCATGCGGAAAGTATCCAAGTTGGCAATTTCTGCGCAAACTGAACCTGTCAGAGTCCAGTGCAGACAGGTTTGTGAAGAGAGCTTATTCTCCTAACAGTAGTTGGGCTCTGCTTTTTCTGGTTTTTAGATAGAGACTGTCAACATTGGCTGAATTCTAAAGATGACTTTGTGTCACACTGTTGCTTTATTCTGAGACTCAGGAACCCATTTCCATACCAAGTGTGAGAAGGGCCTCTTCTTTGTCTTAAAGGCATTTTTCAGTGAACAAGGAGTGTTTTGAGTTAGCCCACCATAAGTGGAGTGTTTCAGATGGATGAAGAAGTCCACTTTCTTTCTGCAGCAAAGGTTCCCACCCTGGAGTCCAGTGATTACTTATGTGTATCACTGTTTGCATATGCCAGGTGCTGTTCAAAGAACAGTGAAAAAAGTTTTTATATACCCTGTCCTACAGTAGGCAGGCACAAAGCAGAAATTCCACAAAGAGTTATTTAAATACAGACATCTTAAGTGCCAGGAGGGAAAAAGTGCTGTTATATTTCACCACTTAAAAGACACACCATTATTTATATACCTCAAAGAAAGAAAAAACTATGACACAGTGGTAAGGTGCCATCAGTCACTGTAAGACACATCCAAATTTCACACATGTTAAAACGTGAAAAAACTGCTTCTTAGAATTGGCAAAGTATGATCAGGTGGAGGACCATCTTAGTGTGACAATCAAGGAAGGCTTTTCTGAGGATTGGCCTCTAAGCCAAAATGTGAAGAATAAGTCTTAGCCTCCCGGCGAAGGGAGCAGCCAATGCCTGAGGAAGGTAAGCCATGAGGTAGGTAAGAACTTAGCTTGTTGGAGGAGCTGAGTGAATGTGAATGAGGTGGGGAAGGGAGCTGAGCCAAGCAAGACCTAGTGGTCCTGTTAAAGATTTAGGGCTTTATTCAAAGAATAGCAAAAAGCTCTTGAATTCTTTAAGCAGGGAAGTGACAGGCATAGATTTGTGTTTATACATTTGTTCATCCGTGATCCTTTGAGTGCATATCACACGCAGGGTGGATGGAAACTGGAATTGGAAATAGGAATTCAGGGCTGAAGGAGGGTTTGGGCTGCTAAGGAGGTCAGGGTGGAAGGGAGAAAGCCTGTCATAATAAAAAGTGCCCTTGAGTATTGTTAGGTGAAAGAGGGCTAGCTGTTACTTACTGAGTACTAGCTTTCTGCCTAGCACTTTATAAACATGACTTCTATTTATAACTATCCTTCAAAAGAAATAGTACCCCCTTTTTCTGACTAGAGAAATAACAGGCTTTGGAAAGTTTAATGGTGTGCCTTAATTCTCAGCAATTTAATAATAAAGGAGGCTGAATAGTATAGTAGTTTGAAAGTAGAGGCCTTGTATGTCTAGACAGACTAGACATGCAATTCTGGCATTGTCACCTGAGCAAAATATTTACATCTCTGTGCCAACTTCCATTCTCTTCATCTGTAAAATGGGGTGCTATCACCTGCCTCGTAAGGTAGTAATGAGGATTAACTGAAAAACAATTAACACAGTGCTTAGCAGAGAGGGAAGTATTTAGTAAAAGCAAGAGTTATTATCAGTATTAATATTGTCACCATTATTGTTATTCTCATACAGAGGAAATATGGGGTTGAACCATAGTATATACTTAGTCTGCCACACCATACCACCTATCAAAGACAGGAGCTTCCCACATGTGAGCTTAAATTTGGAGCCCTAAACAACCATGCCAGTGGTGTGCCAGCACTTGACTCTTAATATCAGGCAAGTGGGGCAGGATCTGAGTAAGTGAAGTCGGAGAAGAAAAGAAAGGACACAGTTGCTGACTCACTACACAAACTTTGCCTGACTGATCACCCTTCTGAAAGGTCTCTGTAACCTACAGTGTCTCAGAAAGCAGCTTTGAAACAGGAATCCTGAAGAGACAGGATCAAAGTAATTATCTGTGTGACTTCTATTCCTAGGTTTTTCTGAAATATATTCTTGACTATCCCCTGGGTGACAAATTGAGACCAAACTTGGAATTCATGCTTGCTCAATTGAAGTAAGTTTAAGCTATAAACTATACAGGGGCAGAAGGGTGGTTTCTCCTTTAATATAGCAGCTGTCTTGAAAATGACTTCATATGGCAGTTCTGTAAATGGCTTTTCCAATTCGTTCTGACTTCTGATTTTCATTAGAGTCTACTTAGGAGAAAGGTACAAATCTTAACAAAATTACATTTGAAGCTGTACAGTATATACAAGCATCAGAATTGGGGAAAAAAATTTTTTTCCCCTTTTTAAAGAAATAGACTGACACCTTGAAATAATATTTGTAAATTCTAAAAACAGTTACTGGTAAATTTATAATACTAACAGGTCCATCTAATGTTCTTGCCCTAGTTATGAACATGAGACTGGGAGAGAGTCTGCCTTGGAAATGATCACCTATCTCTTCGACACATTCCCTCAGGTACTGTGATCACAAAGACAAACTGCTCACTGTTTCCCATGAGCCCTGGGAGCCCACAGTCCTTGTTAGCATCTGTGAGAATTCCCGTATGGGTGTGCTCACAAGTACCTGGTTTGTTTTTTTTAGGGACTGCTCCATGAGAACTGCGGAATGTTCTTCATTCCTCTTTGTCTAATGACAGTGAATGATGACTCTGCCATGTGTAAGAAGATGGCATCCATGACAATCAAGTCATTACTCAGTAAAATCAACCTTGAGAAAAAAGATTGGCTCTTTAGTATGGTGACCACCTGGTTTGGAGCAAAAAAGGTTAGAGTTGCTTGTAGTCCTATTTCAATGAAATCTTAGCTTTTTGGTGTACACTTTAAGTAAGAATATGTATTATATAGATGATTGAATTAATTTTCCCAATAGCTTTATTATTTTTGATTATATTAAAAATATGTCCTTATAGTAAAATTTCAGAAAATATAAGAAGTTATAGAATAACATAAAAATCACCTATATTCCCACTACATGGTTAATGTCAGCCAATTACTCCACTACATGAATGTGTCATAGTGTACTTAACTGCACACATTGGTGAATACCTTTGTTACCAATTTTGTTTATTCAGTTAATGAAGTGTAATTTTTTGTCAGTGACTATATCTGCTTGCTGACTCTACCACCATCATCAGTGGTCCATTTTTGTGGAACATAAACACTACATGTCATATCCTAATACTGGCTTTAGGTATTAAAGTCAGAATGCAGGGAGGAGGGGGTGCTGTTTGAAATTTATTTCCATTCTTTTCTTTTAATTTAAAATGGGAAAAATGTATTTTAAAGTAATACCACTTTTTTAAAAATGTTATTCTTGGGTATGAAGATTTCTCTATATTTTTCATGTTAGCCACCAAAGATCCATATTCTGTTGATTTTTGGCATCATAAAGAAATAATTGAGCATAGAATTGTGCCCATCTTCATTTTACAATTTTGGAAACAGCCTTCCAAGGTGTGTTGACATTGTCTCGTGGTGGTTTATTTTTGATAGAGCTTAAGTAGACAACTAGCTGCCCTAATCTGTGGCTTGTTTGTGGAAAGTGAAGGTGTCACCTTTGAGAGAAGACTTGGAACTATTCTTCCTGTGATTGAAAAAGAAATTGATCCTGAAAACTTTAAAAATGTAAGTTACTTGCTAGAGAAGAAAACTTTTGTTCATATTTATAATTTTACTTGAGGTAATATAGTGAACAGATTATTTGTGTTCAAAAAATTTTTTTATTACTAAAGGATTCAGTGCAGTTGGATCATCATTTTAAAGTAAGAATTAAAATTAAAGTAAGTTATCCTCCATTGTATATGAAGATCAAGGGCTGTCCAGCAGGGTGATTTTGCCTCCCCAGGGCACATTTAGCAACATATGGAGACATTTTCACTTGTCACAGCTGGAGGGTGGGAGAGCACTACTGGCATCTAGTGGGCACAGGCCAGGGATGCTGCTGAATACCCAACAGTGCACAGGGCAGCCCCACCACAAAGAATGATCTCACTCAAAATGTCAGCTGTGCTGATATTAAGAAACCCTGGTGTAGATTTACATACTGAAGTAAAAATGTCCATCAGATACTTCAAAATTATCTCGATTTATATCCATCCTGTTTTTAGATCATGGAAGAGGCTGAAGAAAAAGCTGCAGATCACCTTCTGTTTAGGTTTCTTATACTGATAAGTAAACTCATCAAGGAATGTAATATTATTCGGCTTACCAAGCCCTCTAAAACTTTGCGTGAAATCTGGAGTAAGTATCTGCTTTTTATTTAAATCTAAAAATAAACACATTAGTTGTGATAGAGTTACTGAAAATAGATTTGGGAAATTAGAATATGAATACTTCAGGAAGTATATAATGTCAGGAAAAAAGTCCTTGAGAAAAAGATTTAAAAGGCCCTTTCACATTGATTACAGAGAAAATGTTTCTTTCTGAAAAAAATGATATATATTTATGACTTAATAAGTAATACATCATTTATAAAAGAATATTAACTCTTCAGAAGTAAAAATGGAAAAACATTTCCCAAAGTTTTCCTTGCTACTTAATAATTTGGTATATATTTCCATGTAGTCTTTTAGTTAAACAGGCATAGGTTTTCTTAGAGGGTTTGCTTTGCACAATTTCATATAGACCTTTATATCTTATTTGTACCTAAGCAAGCAAATTACTATACTACAACACACTTTGTAGGTTAGGTGTCTTTTTAAGTAGCTCTAAATAGTCCATCATGCAAATGTGCAGTAATTTACTAAGCCATTTCACTTCTATGGGACTTATGTTATTGTATATCACTCTTTAAGTGAAAAATAAGATCTTAGAATTTTTAATTCAATAATCAATTTTGATTAGTTAATAGGAAATAGACATTGGAATAATGCTTTAAGTGCCCACCTATTTTAAGAGTACTGGTGATCCTATAGGAAATAATGCAGTTACTAAGTTACCAAGTGGCCTGCTCTGCTATGGCTCCACTGACACACAGCCAGATTATTGCAAAAGTTCATGCAGAACAAAAGTAAAACCATGAAAGATAGCATAGACTAAGACTCAGATATGACATGGTTTATCCAGAATTTTAATTTGTCCCCCAACACCCACAAGGCTTTTTGCACTGTACTTTCCAAGTGTGGTATATGGAGAGTGTGAGCTTTTGAGGCCAGATCAAGCTAGGGCCTAGGCAGTTTTGTCTTTTACAGCTTGCCACCTCACTTAGTTCCTCTGAAAACATCTGTTTCCTCATCTATAAAATGGAAATAACAATTCTAATCTCACAGAACTGTTGTAAGGTCTAAATGAAGTAATACGTATAACACACTTAGCCCTGTGCCTGGCACATAGAAAGAGAGCCTCAATAAATGATAACTTTCCAGTCAGCTACTTGAAGCCACCAATTTCAATAATTATCAGAAACAAACATACCTATGTACATATTTATATTACTTTAGAAATTGTAAATGCTACTGCCAGCTTATCTCCCTTGAATATGGAACTGGTCAGTTTTTAGGCTTACTCGCACCTGTTGTTTACCATGTTAGGATTTGATTTTCTTGTTGTTTCCAGTGTCCTGCCACTTCACGTCTCCCTAGCTCTCCTTGCTCTCTGACAGCTTCTGGGAAGGAGGGAATATTTTGTTCATCTTTGTGTTTCCAAATCCAAGCACATACTCAGTAAACCCTGAATTAGTCATATTTACCACCAAAGAGTTGGGAAAGCTGTGAGGCATCTGAGAATGCATTTTGGTTCCCTCAGGTCATGTGCACGCTCACCTGACACATCCACACAACTGGGTGTGGCTCACTGCAGCCCAGATTTTTGGATTGCTTTTTGCCTCTTGCCAACCAGAGGATCTTACTAGAAAATGGACTGCCAAAACAACTAAGAAGAAACTCTCAGGACCTGTAGCAGTCAGGTTCCTAACAAGCGACCTTGACCAAACGGTAAGGTCTCTCTAAAACCTTTTCCTTCCTTCATGGTCTGTATGAGATGTTCGTTCTGGTTCATGTAACTATCTTGGGGTTGGCCCTAAGGAGAAACTCGTCCAACTGACTAGTTGCACATGTGAATCTGGAGGAGTGTTAGGAACTGGAAAGGGGTCACCCTCAAGGCCAAGACATTTTTCAAAGATAATTTTTAGACCATCAGTCTAGTCACTTTTGCTTATTTAGCATGTTCATCTTCTATTATATGTTTAAATTCTTTATCAGTATTAGAAAATAAGATTAATACTGTCTGTCCTGCCTCCTTTATAACCTGTTGATGACTAAATGAGACCACATTCATGAAAATGATAGGGACCATGGTATTCCATTTCTGATTTCCTAGGACCTAGCATAACACCCGGCTCATAGTGGGAACTCCATAAATATGAATGAGTGGAAGGTGGGTGGGAAAAAAAAGAAAAATAATACCAGAATGTTGCAGTTTTCTACTAATAATCTGAAGAATTATTACCTGTATCTCCTCAGAATTTTAAAAGCATCCCATTTCTTTGGACTGAAATGCTTGGGGCAAGTAGAAGGGAACAATTACACAATTTTTGGTCATGAACCTTCCCTTACAGATGTACATAGGTGGCCATTCAAAGCAAAATCTAGTACCTGAGTTGTTAAATATTATTATGGTTACTTAGAGTTTGTAAAAATGACCAGATGTCCTGCATTGTCTGCCAGTGTCCACTTTCTTTTCACAGATGAAAAGTATCTCCCTAGCCTCTTGCCGTCAATTGCATTCCAAATTCTTAGATGAGTCTTCAGGAGAGCAGGTAAGTGTTGTGACCCTCCCAGTTTTAATAGACAGGACTACTCTACCAACAGTTTAGGAATAGGCTTACATTTGGTATCTGTGTGGTTTTTGTTTTCCTATTTTAATGCTCAGGAAATTAAGCGAAATACATCTTCAGTGATACACATAAATCTAGTCAACTCTGGGGCCATGTTGGGATTCCTCTTGGCTCCACTTAAAATTCCCAATACAGATGAGGCAGCAGAAGGCTGCCTATTCATTTACTCCACATTATAACTGAAGCTTTGAAGGGCATTGGCTGTTGAATGAATGACTGTGATTGTTCTTATAGTTAAACTATAATACTGAATTTCCTTCGCTTACCCCTATACGTTGAAAACAATGATTATGCTACACTGTGGTCTGAGAATTGTCTGTTTTTAACTGAAGACATATACACCACTAAAATGTTTTATGTATTTTCATATTATAAAATGCAAATATAAAGAAACACTTTATAAATATTCAAGAAATGTAGTTGCTTTTGGATAGTTGGTCTGCTGCTCCCTTATTTCATAGAGCAGTTGAGCTGATAGATGGTGAGTTAACACAGATGTGGTGTCTGGGTATGAGCAAGGCACTTAACCATGATTCTTGTCATGATGGACAAGGTAGGACAATGGAGATTAAGTGATGGAACACTAGAAACTAGGCAAATGTCATATCCTGAGTGACCTTAAGTAGTATGCCATAAACACTGATACTTCCATCACTTTTTTAAATGAAGATTACCATGTTTCATTATATGGCAGGGTCACGTAAGGAATGGATAGCTATTCAGTAGATAGCAAAGTAAAGGCAAAGAAATCCTGCCAGGGTGGACAGTGGGTGGGATGTCACATAGGATCAGTTATAACAGAGTCTGATGGGCCATACAAACTTGAGACAGGGAAGAAGAGATTTACTAGTACTGACCCAGGATGAAAAAAATTAAGGTATTTAGTTCACAGTAATCTTAGGATGAGTTAACAATTAGAAGTGGCTGCCACAGAGGAAAAAGGCCCCTAAAACTGGGACTGTCTTCATGGAGGCCAAACCACTAGGAGAAAATTATAATTGTGGCGTGAATTCTAGATGTCCAGGCTAGCCTTGGACAGTGTACACGTTCTGAATAGTACATTTGGGGGAACTTCTGGCGCACAGCCCCTCTGGCAGAGCAGCAGGATGGTGAAGGAACTCAAAACCAACCTGGTTTCCTCCTGCATATAATGGGTGAAATACCTATGTCAGAGATTTCATGGATGTCAGAGTTGGGGACTCTAAATGGGTCAATTATTATAAGACTAAAATTGGTCCCTGGCTGTTTATCTGGATCAGATGGTATTTGAGGAGGGAGCTCAGTGTTTAAGAACTGGGGTTCGAATTCTAAAGATCTTTGAATCCTGGCTGCTATTCACTTTGTCTTTGGGTGAATCACTCAGTAACTATAGATAAGCCTTGGTTTTCTCTCCTGATATAAAGGGGTATTTTAAAATTGAAGTGAAAGGCTGTATATAAAGTCAGTGTTCAATATATATAAATTACTTCTATAAAGGAATTTAAGGATGGGGAAATGAAAGCTCTTAAAAATATAAATGGATGGTTCAGAATGAAATTAACTCTCTTTTGTGACCTTAAAGGGTAGAAGTAGGTCAAATGGATGAAAGTTATGTGGAAATGGATTTGGACACACTAAGGAAGGACTGAAGAATTATCAAAAAATGAAGCAATCAACTTAATAGTGAAATAGTTGTTTCTAATTGTAGAATACCTATTTTAGCTCCTGCTTTACTGAGCCATATTTATTTCAAAATCAGTCTAATTCCTATCTTTTTTTTTTAAGGTTGTGAAGAATTTGTTATTTGTAGCAAAAGTCTTATATTTACTGGAATCTGATTCTGAGGATAAGCAAAATGAGATAAAAGAAATGGAAGAACAAACCTTAAGAGATGGTATGGTCAGAAAGGAGGTAGAACTCGAGGCCGGTGCAGATGAGGTGGAATCTGACAATGAAGCGATGAAGGATGAACACAGCAAGCCAGCCACACTGCTGTGGTTGATACAGAAGTTGTCCCGGATTGCAAAACTGGAAGCTGCCTATTCACCTAGAAACCCCTTGAAGGTGCCAGTGCATGTGCAGGCTGACCAAAAGTAGTCATTTTGTTTAAAAGTAACTTAGTGTATTAGTGATCCTCCCAAGTACATAGGTGCTTTTGAAAACCCAAAAGTGCAGTAGGGATAATCTACCCCCAAATAGATCTTGTTTTCTATAAATCAACTGTTATCTGGCTACAAGTATAAGAGAAACACTTCAAATGAACAATGATCTTTACTTTCAGAGAACAAGCATCTTTAAGTTTCTCGGAGCTATAGCAATGGATCTTGGAGTAGACAAGGTGAAGCCCTATCTCCCAGTGATCATAGCTCCTTTGTTTCGAGAACTAAACAGCACCTATTCGGACCAAGGTAACCCTGCAGTCTCTCTTCTGAATACTTGCACGTTAATATTTCTCACTTCTTTCCTGAATGCTTCCCTCTTCCTTTCTGCCCTCCCTGCCCACCAGTTTTAATAAACAAAACTTGCTAGGGAGCAATTAATACAGCAAACAAATAAGGCATATTTGTGTTACATTTAACCGCTTCTCCTATATGCTTTCTTGTGTCTGTGTTTTCTCTCCTAAAACGTTTTATTCTTAAGCATAGACCAAATAATCAAAAAAAGTATAATTTGGGGTGGTTCTAAGCTCATAATGCAATGAACAAAAATGTCATTATATTCTCTTATGAATCATAAGCAAAAGTAAAAATAGTTGTACTTTAATTTTCCTTTTTCTTGCCTAGTACATTTGTTACATTTCCCTCACTGACCTTAAATTGTCTCTTGGTATTAAGAGGGAATTGGGGTTGGAAAGAGAGGAGGTAAAGTGGATGTTGAGTTTTAAAATGAATGAATATCAAAGCAGGAGCTATTTTAGTACTACAACCTTGAGAGAAAGTTCCTTCCTCTTAGAATGGGTGATGGTCAGGTCTACTTTGGTTCTCATCAGCCAACATTTATTAAGCATCTAATATTTGCCAAGCACTGGGGGTTCAACAGGGGAGAAGGCCAATTCCCTATCAAGAAACTTGCTTCTAGAACAACCTAAAACCTGAGGTCTCCTAAAACTGAATGAATAAAATCTGTGGGCTATTTGCATTTGAGAGAGGAGGGTGGGAAAGCAGCTTTTTCTCAGCCTAAGAGGTCTTTGATTCAAAGACTATGGCCAGAGCTAAGCCATGAATTAGAGAAACACACTTACCTTTACCCCCTCTGCACAGAGCTGAGCAAGTTCATAAAGGTAACCCAAATGTTACTGCCAAGTTCCCAGATAAATGTTTTCTGAGCCAGGATTCTGCAGGAAGTGGGCTTCATGGTCTCTGATCTCCTGTTGTACAAGGTGGTGGCTGGGAGTGCTGTGTCCAACTCTTCCTGCTTTTCCATCTCAGAAACTGCTAGTTGTAGATCAGTGTTTAATGTTTAAATAATAAAAGTGATACTAGAAGAGTTTAAATTTTGCATGTTGATTTTATAAATGTTCAAATGCGTGCTTTCCTACATGAATGTCTCTGATTTATTACTGTGTGTGTGATTAGATCCTTTGCTGAAGAATCTATCCCAGGAAATCATAGAATTACTCAAAAAGCTGGTTGGACTCGAGAGCTTCTCATTAGCCTTTGCCTCTGTACAGAAACAGGCTAATGAGAAAAGGGCACTCCGGAAAAAAAGGAAGGCTTTGGAGGTAAGTCTGCTGTTTGAAATGTGGCATGTTCATTTGGTTTAATTGTTTTTAACCAGGGTTGTGTACACGCATGTGTCACAATTTAGCAGGGAGGAGAGAGGAATTGGCTGTTTGAGAAGTGGGGACTTTGTAGTTGGGGCTCTAGATTTTCTTTAATGGGCATGTTTTGCATATGTGATGTTAAAAGGTAAACAAAATGGTTCGTTTCTGCATTTGGTTTGTATTGTTTAACATTTACTGTAAAGGTAATGTAAAATTTTATTCTTTTTTCAAGTTTGTAACTAACCCTGATATTGCTGCCAAGAAAAAGCTGAAGAAACACAAAAATAAAAGTGAAGCAAAGAAGAGGAAGATAGAATTTCTGCGTCCAGGCTATAAGGCCAAGAGACAAAAGAGCCACAGCCTAAAAGATTTAGCAATGGTAGAATAAAATGCTCCCTGTGCTGATACAGTGTCTCAGCTTACCTCTAAGCGTGAACTTCCTAGTGTATCTGCTAGTCTGAGGGATTTATTATTTAAAGTAACAAAATATCTTTTATGATTTAAATTAAACTTTGGTACAGATTGTATGTTATACAGTTTAATCATGCATGTATTTTTTTTAACATTTCGTTACTACTGTAATTTCATTGTTACTAGTGATAAAGAGGTAAAATTTTTTAAATACACTTTAAAATAGCAAGATAAAGTGAAATTATGAATAAATCAAATGATCTGCAATACTTTTAAGGAAGATATTATAAAAACTTTATCAAAATGCATTAAGAAAAATATGCAGCAATTTAGAAATATAACCATGTTCATAGATACGAAAATTCAGTATCAGCGGGTTCAAGTTGTTCCCAAATTGGATCTCCATGGTAAATGCATATCTGAGCAAAATCCCGAAGGACTTCTTTACATTATTCTAACAAGCTGACTCTAAAATTTATATGGAAGATAATAAACTGAGAATGACCATGATGCTTTTAAAAAAGGAGAACAGGGTGAGGGGCTTGCCCTGTCAGGTCTCAAAAGACACAGAAAGTACGATCTATAGAGAGCATATGTGATACATCTACTTTATCAAAATTAAGAACTTATACTTATGAATATACACAACTGAGATATAGCATGTACCAAATACAGATAAAAAGGATTTAATACCCAAGCTATATAATGAATACCTATGAATCAACAAAGATAATCCAGTAGGAAAAGTGGCAAAAGAAACAGGCATTGTATAGAATATAAATGGCCCTTAAATCCTTAGCTGATATGGCTATATCAGTTTTTAAATATTAAAGCATTTATTAAGTGATTGGTAAGTAGTCACTACCTTAAAATCCCTAAGTGCCACCCTGGCTACATGAGTCTCTAGACTTCATCTCCCCACACCACAAATTAAAGAATTAACACCTGGGTTAGTGGGGATCCTCCTGCATCAGCTATGTCTTATTGTTAAATATTTTTAATCACTCCGATATTCAACCTCATTAATAATTAGGAAAATGCAAATTAACACTAGAATGAAATTCATTTTGAACCCTTCAGATAAAGTTGACAATACCAGATGTTGGCACAGGGAATGCTTATAAAAGCACTTTGGAAAATAATGTGGCATTATCTTGTTCAACCATAAGGTGTCTTTTGCTGCACTCTACACTTGAAGTGGAAGCAACATTCTTTAGCACCCAACGTAATTGGAAGGGAGTGGGAGGAGGAATCCATCCTTTGTGACAGGTACTTTGATTAAATTTTGTTTTATCTTCATAGTATTCCTGAGAGCTTCCTAAGATTAGCTGCTGTTTTACAGATGAGGAAACTGAGATTCAAATTAAATAATTTACCTAAGGTTGACTGACATGGTAGTAAGTGGCATGACCAGATTCAAACCCAGAATTGAAATCAGATTCAAACCCAGGATTGAAAGCCCATGGAGTTGGAATATTATAGCATGTGGCATAGGAATCAAATGTTCAGTCATTAACTTAATCGTCTGTGTTTTGATACAGTTTGTATCTCAAACAGTAATTCTATACTTTCAAAGGGCTTGTAATAATGTGCCAGAAGATGGACACAGGGCATCTTGGAAGGCTGATTTCAATTAATTCTAAGTGATGTAAAATGCATGTATTGTTTTTATAAAAATATTTTAAATCAAAAGTTAAGGCAAAAATCAGAAATTTCTCAAGGATATTGAGCACAGCTTTGTTTTAGTCAGTAAATATTTATTGAGTGCCTACTATGTGCCAGGTACACCAAATTAGATTGAAGGGGTACTAACAGTATGGTCCCTGCCCTCAAGGAGCTTACATTTCCACAATTTAAAGTGCATCTCAGGTAGGCTGATAACAAAATTTCGCCTCTCAACTTTTTCAATGTGAACACATAATAGCACAGCTACCAACCAGAGTTGTTAGAGCAAAAGAAACTTCTGATACAATTTGTCCAAGTCTTTTGTTTTATAGAAAAAACCTGAAGGAGTGGCCATTTGTGCTGAGAACTCATGTGTTGTGATTTCAAGTTTGGTGCTTCTCCCATTTTCAGGCTTCTCACAAAATAATAATCACTAGATTTTTATAAGTATCCAAACTCCTGTAACATACCTGTAGTTTCCTGCTGGATAGGTACCTTATAATTTATACCATATTAAAATAAGTGTGTGCTCTATTTATCCCATCCTATTCTTTGTGATAAACCAGAGATCAGGATCAACCAAGTGTTGGCCTTTGCTACAACCTCAAGTGCCCTCAGTATTCAAGACAGCAAAGGCTATGTGCTGGGCAGCAACTGCCTGCCAGGGCTTCACCTGCCCCAATTTCATTGTCATGGTGTTCCTGAATTGCTGGGGGATGCATAGCCACTGGGGTACACAGACAGCACTAGACATATGCCACTGACCAGAGGAGACCCACGTATAAAGTGCAGAGGTACTATTTCCTAGCTGACATACATAAACTATTTCAACCATGAACATACTCTAAGGGCCGTTAGTGTTAGACGGCACCATACTGGATCCTGAGGATAGAAATATGAAAAAGGTACCCTACCTGACAGAAGTGCCTTGGAATCTATGAAACAACATTAGTTACATGTTCAGTAATACTAAGTGCACTGGGAATGTGTGCCTGGAGAAAGGCCTCCAAAAGAGATTTCAGAGAGACCAAATTAAGAATGGGTATTGGAGAATGAGTAAAAGTCCCACAGATGAAAACAGAAAGCCACATTGATTTGAGCTCAATGACCAAAAGCGTGAGAGAAAGAGACCAGAGGCCAACATCCAGGTCAGTGGTAGGGACAGGAAATGAACCGCTAGTGTTCCTGAAGGGCAAAGCATTCTTTACCAGCATCTAATTTTTTAAATGCCCCCAGTTGTCCAACTTTTAAAACATGAAAATTCCCCTTAATTTAATAAGTACTAAGGTCTACATTTACTTCCATCAAACTACAGCCAGTCCTGTGTTAGACTGGGTAATCTGAAAAGTTCCATAACTGTTTTTGATAGCCTAACAGTAAGTCTAATTTTTAAAACCAAGCATGCTTAATTTCTCCCTGTAGAACCAGTAAGATTTTATTTTTCACCAAATTTACATGTCCAACTGCAGGTAGATAAGACAGTAAATAAATCTTTCACAATGCTTCTTAAAACAGGCCTTTTTCAAATTTTCCTTTAATGTGCATTTTTTTCTTTAACATGTAGAGATTCCTCCAAATATAACCATTTAGGATTATTTTTACTACCTCTACTATTACTAGTATGGTAAATAACCTTCAGACATCATTTTGAATGTACTCTGCTTAAATTGGCATAATTTTATTTAAGGAGTTATTATCTGTGTTACCCAATGTTGGCATTTTCAGGAATTTATGATGTCTGAGACAAGCTTTTGATCCTGAAGTCTCACTTTGAGCCCTGTGCCCACCTCACTAGCAGGTGATTTTGGACAAGCCAACCTATCAGAACCTTGGGTCCACATCCATAAAAATGACATTACAACGTGTCCTACCTACCTCACAGGGTTCCTGTACAAATCAACTAGGTCAATATATATAAGATTTTTTCAACTATAAAGTACTACATAAAATAACAATTACAGGTGTTACTGAAGTTAACCACCAAAATATTTCAACTTCATGCCTATAACCGAGAGCTTTTAAACAAAATAGCTTAAAGAGGTCATTAAACAAATGAAGACTACTACCCACAGTATGTTCCTAGTCTACTCAGTCTAATCTTTGGAAAAACTTAATTCATTTTTTAGGAGGGAAAAAGTCTGCATTAAGATATTTATTAGTGTTTATACAAACAAGCTGCAACCACTAATTCAAAAATAGGAGGGGTTTTTTTCCATTAATAATAGTACATTCTTTAATAGGACTCTATTTGAATAAGAATTCCATACAAATAGAATATATATCTTAACACAAGAAAGCAATGGAGGATTTTACATTACACAGAACAGATACTCAGTTCAATCACGTTACCCTTCCAACCAAATGCTTATTTTTTATATTTATTACAAATGTTGTGGTCAGTTCAGTATATGCCAACAATCATACAGTTTTAGTAGCGTGAACCACACTTAACTGTTTCCAGAAGGAATATGTGAGGTGGTCTTCATTTCAGAGGAGCAGAAGTGATTGATTTACTGTCTGCTCTTTAATGTTTCAACTAACCTATGAAGAGAAAATTAACAGTTTCATAAAATTAGCTTCAAACTTTCAGATAGAGAGCACGATCATTTATAATACAAATTTGTTACTGGAGGTGTATTGCAAAGCACTTTAAGTGATGAAGGCTAAGATAGTTACATGAAAAGAATGAGGTTATGGCCTCAATTTACATGAGGGTCCTTTGGCTTTCACTTTGTCTATGCTCTGAATAAATGATCAAAAAAGACCAAATATCTACTTTCCAGGATACTACTACTATAAGCAGGCCAGATGTGGGTAATTCAGAGGTGCAAAATAGTCTCAATCCTCAAGGAGCTGATAATTTCCTTGATAATCTAATGCACAAACCAGTTACAAGACAGTGTAACAAGTACTGTATTATTTGTCACTGTTGTGACAAGGACATCTATGTGACAGGCAGGCAGTGAGCACAGAGAGATGTTAGGGAATGCTCTTGAGAAGAAGAGAGTCTTACCCTAAGTCCTTAAGGATAAGGAATTGGAGGCTGAAGTTAAGGCAGGGAAAAAGAAAAAAAAAATGGCAGAGAGCTGGCTTAACTAACTATAATCAGGTAGGTGTTGCTGACATGAAGACCAATGGGAAAAAAGGATGGAGAAACTTACTGATGAGCTAAGTAATCTGAATTTCATCCTCAAGACTAAAGGGAAATTACACATGTGCATACACAGTTGCCCACACACACAAATGCACAGATGGCTACTGGAAACATGAAACTTACCATTCCATTGCCTCATCAAGGCCAGTGCCTTTGGTTGCTGAAGTTTTGAATATTTGCCATTTTCTATCCTTCAAGGCAGGTAACCCAAGAGAACTTGCCATCTCTGAAGGAGTCATGGCCTGTTCCATGTCCTGTTTATTTGCAAACACCACTAAAATGGCTTTTCTTAGCTCTTCTTCCTAAATAAAACATATTTAGTTTCCTCTAATCAATTTGCTCCCTTGAGTTCAGGAAGAAATGCCAAAAAAACACCATATTATTTTTAAAGTATATTTCCTAATTATTAATACATAATGCAAATTATAAATTATTTGAAGTTACGGAGAAGTATGAAGGAAAGAAGCTTCACCCATAATCCTACTTCCTACACATGATCACTGTTAACAATCTGGGTATTTGCTACTCTACTTTGTAAGTTAGATACTTAAGAGTTTGTTTAGTAAATACATTTACACATTTAAGGTTGCATTTACATACAGTTTCACACCCCACTTTAAGAAATTAACATTAAATTATGGATGTTTTTCCAAGCTATCAAAATTTTTTCCAAAAAAATTAATGGTTAAATACACCCCACCATGAATGCATGCACCATAAACTATATTACCTGTTTTCCAGTATTAGACTCTTAATAGATTCTTTTCACTTCACTACTAAAGAAACCCAAGTGACAGAATCATTACACACAAATCTTTTGTGAATCTATATTTCTTTAACACAATTCTCTAAAGACAGGAAGTATGAACTTTTTTCACTGTTACATGTATTAATAAACTACTCTCCAGAAAACTAACAATCTGGCTTCACCATAAGTGTATGACAGTGCCCATCTTCAATGCAACCTTGTTAGAATTGAAAATTATGTATTTCTCTAAACATAGCATCTCATATGCTTATTTATAAGTGTTTTAGAAATGCAAATATTAGCGATTTATTTTTCTCCTGTGAATTGGAGGTTCATGACTTTTGCTCATTTTTCTATTGATTTACAAAAGATCTTGATATGATTAAGAACAATACTAACACTGGTTGTAAAACCGTGTTGTGGTTCTGTTTTACCCTAATTTGTATTACTTGGCATCTGAGCCTTAGCAGTTTTTGATTTATATTAATATAATTAAATCCTTTTTGTAATTCCTTCCGATCCTTTGAACCTTCCCTATCCAGAAATTTTAAACACATATTAAGCATATTAAAATATTATATATTCTTATAGTTGACAACTTCCATTTTTTACATTTAATTCTTTCCTCCATTTGGAATTTTTGTGTATAAAAGGTAGAACTTAAGTTGATTTTGTGTTGATAAGTTTTAATGGTCATGATTCATACTCTACGTGTACTTTACATCACATAAATATTCACTGAATCAAGTTACTTCCTGAAGAATGAATATAATTTTTATATCATTCTCCATAAGATTATATGAATCAAATCCTAGTATCACAAGTAACCTAACAATCCAGCACATCTCAAGAACTGTAAATAGAACCTAATAATCCCATTTCTTTATACACTATTTTGACAAAAATACATTATACCATTGAGTTACATCTAAATAAAGCTTTTGTTTTAAAAATCCATTATACCCACAGCAATTAAACAGTCCTTTAAAATTCCTTACACTTTTAATTTTGTCTAAGAAGCTCTTGTGATAAATATGATGCTATTTATGAAAAATATTAAAAAGTTTAAAACTATTAGGTCTGCAACTGATAATTCAGAAGCCATTAAGGAGTCAGTAGTCCAAGCAATCAGAAGTCCAAAGCAGTCTCAAAATACTTAAGTACTCAAGTGGCCTAGAACATGTATTTAAGCATTCAATGATTGGATAATTCAGAATCATTGTTTCAGTGGGAACTCATCTAATTTTCTCAAGCAAAGGCAGTTTCATTATTGATTAATCATTACTACGTGTGAAAACTTTATATAACAAATTAATATTTTTAAAACATTAACTCTGAATTCAGTCGGTCAGTTAGCCAATAAATTATCTCATGAACCTCAGTGAATACAATGTACTGAGTTCTTAATTAAGTGCTATACACTATTCCACACATCAGAGATATTAAGAGAAACCTAAAGAATTTACATTTTAGGGTGGGAGACATATGTAAGTAAACAAATACATTTTTAAATAATGGCAAGAAATGACAAGGGGTACAAAGAATCAAGTAGGAAAAGGAGCTAGAAAATAACTGAGACTTCTCTCTGGAAGAAACATGAGATGAAACATGTCAAGAAGGTAGCCATGCAAAGATTAGGGGAATAGCAGTCCAAGCAGAAGAATGAGCAAATGCAAAAAGCCATAAGCCAGGTGTCAGGTGTGCAAACTTGATGCATTCAAAGAATAGAAAAGTCAGTTTTACAGTGGCTAAGGCACTGTAAACACAGGGAGGAGTAAAGAGTTGATAAAGCTGGAAGAATAAAGAATGATTTGCAGGAGCCAGAACTGTACCAGAAACCCTGAGATACAATGAACTCTAGTGCCCTTCATTGTTTCTAAAATAAACAAGTATGCTTATTATTTACACCCTGCTTTTATAAGCTAATTTATACAACTAGACATAAAGACATGTTTTTAAAAAACTACTTTGAGGAAGTGACTTAGAATAGTTACTTCAGATTAAAAAGAGTTCAGCTGTGACCTTCTTGGAAATCAAGGAATCTAGTTGAAAGGAAATGACAAGGTTGGATTTTTTCTGTCTCTAATCCTCTCCCCAAGGTACTTTTGGAATAATAAGTAACTGGCATAAAAGAAAAATTATACAAAAAGTGTGGGAGAAAAAGTCCTGCTTTCTTTTTAATTATTCCCACATGTGATAATAAACAATGGAAACAGCAAGCCACATAAAGAATTTCCCCATATTTTAATAAAGTTGTCTTACCTCCAACATGGCAACTAACTCTGATTTGGAAATGCCAATTCGGTCTCGGTCACAACTGTCAACTACATAAATGACTGCATCTGTATTTGAATAATAACATCTCCAGTATGGCCTAAAAAAATTCAGAAAGGGAGGATATATTATTATTTGATAGAAGAAATTGCTACTGTAATTCATATGCTAGGACTTGGCAATCATTGGTGGGTAGAGTTACATGACAGTTCTAACCCTACTCATGTTAGAATCAATGCCATAATGATTCACTGTTTCTGATGAGTATGTATCTTACCTCAGATGTGATATAGTGGAAAAAATGTTGATAAACCTTAAATCACAGGACCGAGGCATTTCAAAATGAGTTTAAGCTGAGAGATACATAATCTATGAAATAACTAAAAAAGTTATTCTGGTTTTTAAATTGATATTATCAATTTATATTGATAAAAAAGTTATATACAGACCTGATCATTATATCTTATAAAATGTTTAAATGGGAACTCCTTAAGAGGAATGGGTTCTTAAAAAAATTAATATGATTTTATATAATAGACATTAAATTGATCACTTGGGACACCAAGAAGTAGAAATGGCTAAAATTGTAAGTATATTCAAAAGTGGTTCAAAAAATAAAATGAGTTAAAAGGCAGCAGGATATCTGAGAAATGCACTACTAATCTTTTTAAGATAGTAGGTACCATAGTGAGCAACAACTGATAGTCAGCAAACATTCACACCTGCCATGGCAAGCAAAGAATGCTGGGCAGGAAACCTGAGTTCCAGAGGGCATCCATGTTCATATTAGTCCTAAATGGTGGGCCTGAAAGGTACTGTTACAAAATCCAAAACAGCCTGTCTCACAGAGGATGGGACTGACAAGAACTGAAGGGCTTAATCAGTTAAAGACTACTAAAGTAATTAATTAGGTCTTGAGATTTTCATGAAAGAAATTATCATTTAGTTGATATCTGAAAAAACTGGCTTCCTTAGATTTTAACTCAATTGGGAGAACAGGCAGTTTTACCTCATTTTAAAATAGAAGGCTCTAATCTAATTACAAATGAAGATATATCTTGGCTTACTGCTGCTAAATCTAAAAGAGCCAATAAATATCCAAAACCACAAAACAATCTGGTCTTTGTACCATACCTTATACTTGTCTGTCCTCCTAAATCCCAGACTTGGAATTTAAGGTTCTTGTATGTTACCGTCTCAACATTAAATCCAATGGCTGAAAGAGAAACAACATAATACATGCAGACTAATGGATTCTACCTTCAAAGTATATAATCTAATTGAGTTTTAGCAATTAATGGTAACTGCTGAATCAGATTGACTGAGATACTCCATTTAAGACAAGACAGTATGCTATGCTATACAAACATACAAAAAAATTAGCAAGATCAACACCACTTAAAAATTATGTAAGATCTTCAGCCACCTCTGCAAATATATTTCTTAGTTCAGTAGGAATCCTATTATGTTAAACTTCCCTCATAATACAATAGTGGCATACAAAAGTGTTCAAAAAGTTATATTTATAAAGGATAGTTGTAGATGTATTACAAAAATTTGAATTTTGGAAGGTAGCAAATAAACAAGGAACAAATCCAAGTCCAGATTCTAAACTTCAGTGGGTAAGGACACAGCAATAGCCATACACCACTTTATGGAAACTGAGTAGCCTAAGGCTGGCTATTCACAAACCCTCTGCAGACTCTTGAGCTCATCTGGAATGTCATAGCTGGATGAGCTCCTTCTAAGGTAGTGTTCTGGCATCATGTGGCTGAGTAAAGATACCACTATTTTCACTGAAAGGAATCCTAAGGGATGGTGGAAAGGATTCTAAAAAACTCAGGAATTATATAAACAAAGATTATTAAAAAATTTCAAAGTAAAAAGTGACTAACAGCTGTAACTGGACAATTCATTTTTCTTCTAGATTTAAGTTTATATTGGTAAATGATACATGACTATATGACAAGTTTGCCTATTACACCTAAAAAACTATGAACCTGAGTGAAAAACTAAAAACGTTCATGCTGTTGCCCTTAGAATTAAGTAGGAGTACAATCACCATCTTCACTTTGAATAGGAACATCATTCATATGCAGAGTACAAGAGGATGGTATAAAGTGCATTCTCTGAAATGCAGTCCACTAAGCTGTGTACACTACATGTAGGGACTACCAAGACTTAACCACAGCGGAGATGGGTGATTTTGAAAAGCAAAAATGGGAACTGAAATTTACTGAAAGCAGCAAACAGAAATAACAGATGTCACAGGACTTTAAAAAGTTCTTTCATAAAATCTAGACTTTTTTTAATCTGGAAATTTACAGCTCAATATAGAAATAATTTGCATGACAATTACAGGCATAATTTAAACACTCTTGAGCAATGCTTGATACCATTAATAATCAGGGAAATGCAAAACAAAACCATGAGATACCACCTCACACCAGTCAGAATGGCTAGTATCAAAAGATAAGTAAGTATTGAAGAGGGTGTAGAAAAAAGGGAATCCTGCACTGTTGGTGGGAATATGAATAGGTGAAGGCACTACAGAAAACAATATGGAGGTTCCTCAAAAAATTAATGGAAATACCATACGAGCCAGTAATGTCACTTCTAGAAACTGACCTGAAGATATTAGAATTGCTAATTCACAAAGATATATATCCCCTATTTTACTGCAACATTATTTACAATAGCCAAGATATGGAAGCAACCTAAGTGTCCATTGATAAATGAACAGATAAAAAGATGTGGCACATATATCCAATGGAATATTATTCAGGTATCAAAAAGACAGATTGTGCCATTTGTGACAACCATGGATGGACCTAGAGGGTATTAAGCTAAGTGGAGTAAATCACACAGAGACAGAGGAATACCAAATTTCACTAATATGTGAATATAAAAAATAAAACAGAAACCGACTATTAAACATAGAGAACAAACTGGCAAATGCCATGGTCAAGGGATGGAGGAGGATGGGTGAAATAGGTATAGGTGATAAAGAGGGTAAACTTCCAATTATAAAGTAAGTAAATCATGGGGATCAAACTATAGCACAGGGAGTATAGTCAATAATATTATATCTTTGTATGATGATATAGTCAATAATATTGTTATATCTTTATAAGACGATAGTTGGTAACTATACTTATTGTGGTGAGCATCTCACAATGTATTTAATTGTTCAATCATTATACTGTACACCTGAAACCGATATAATATTATCTCCCAAAAAACTTTAAAAATAAATTCAGTATGCTAAAAATATAAATAAATACTCTTGAGCAAATTCTATGAAACCTTAAGCTTAGTTTGAATGTTTTTATCTTCTCTAAGTAAATTCAGGTCAACAAATGAAAAAGTACAAATAACAGAACAGTATTTTTACATAGTCAAACAGAACTATTTGATAATATTTTTCTAAAGATATCAACAACTGATTTAAAATCAAAGTGTTCTTGATATTTTTAGGTATCAGATTAACTAACATTTATAATTAACCAACAGAATTACTTAAGAGATACTAATTTTAATAAAACAGTAACAAATACAGAAAAAAACTTCACATATAATAGTATCACTTAACATCTTAATTCTTTATACTGGTTTACAAAGTATTTTATATACTTATTTCCCCCTCAAAGGCCATGGAAATTTACTATCTTCATTTTATTAATAAAGTTACTAGCTCTCAATAAGATAAAGTAACTTAACTCTAGCCAGCTTTTAAGACAGCTTTAAACAGCAAAATCCTGCTATGCACAGGGGTCTGCAAATTGCCTCAAATTTACGAAAAAAAGTGTTATCAATAGTATGCCCAAACTAGAAGTTTACAGACTTTATTATATTAAAATTACCTTAATGTATGAATTACTTACTCAGAAATAGTTATGCTAGATGGAAAACAGCACCTGTAGTTTACCATACCGACACTTACTAGGAATTGTAGTGACGACTTCTCCAACCTGTAATCTGTACAAAATTGTAGTTTTTCCTGCTCCATCTAATCCCAAAATTAAAATTCTCATTTCCCGGGTTCCAAACAGACTAGAGAAAATACTTGAGAAAAAGCCACCTAAAAAAATAATAAAAAATAGAAGTGTATTCAGTATCATTTTGCAAGGTAGGTCTATAAAACATTTAATCTTGCCCTCTGAAAGCTATAAAATGTAATACTATAATGTTTTCCTCAATTCGCATGTGAATATTTTTACTCCCAATTAAATACATTATTTAATATCAAAATAATTACAAGTAATTACTGACTGTTACCATGTTTGAGATATTGTATCTGGCAGGCACAGAAGATAAACTCCAGAATAAGAGAAATATTACTGCTGCCCTCATGGAGTTCACTTTCTAATCAAAAAAATATCAATAACTTAGCATGATCTCCTCACTACCCCTAAAAACCAGAGGGTAAATCAGAATGACATTGGGACCACTGAGATCCTCCCATAAGAGAAACAATTATTGCTGTAAAACAGTACCATCATCCCTTCAGTCACTGAGATTTCTCTGTAAGCAATGTAATAAAAGAAACTGAGACACAGAAACCAAAAATAACAAAAAACTAGTTTTGATAGAAAAATTATTTGAAAAAGTAAAGCTACATTCAATGCATCATGAAATATTCCCAGAAAGCATCCTATATGTAAGGAATTAATATAAAGTACTTGTGAACACAGAGTAAAATGATGGTTACTAGACACTAGGGGAGTAGGGAAAATGGGAAAGATATTAGTCAAAGGTACCAATTTTCCTGATCAGATGCATAAGTTATGGAGACCAGCATAGCAACTACAGTTAATAACAATGTATTATACACTTGAAATTTGCTAAAAGAGTAGATCTCAAAGTATTCTCACCACATAACACAAAGCATGTGAGGTGATGGATGTGCTAATTAGCTTGACTACAGTAATCATTTCACAATGTATACATTATCAAAACATCATGTTGGGGGGGGCTTGATAATCATGGGTGAGTGTAACCACAATGTTGCTCATGTGAAACCTTTGTAAGATTGTGTATCAATGATACCTTAATAAAAAAAATGTACAGAACCATGAGGTGGGAAGAACATAGAGGGGGTTCCATGGACAAGGAAAAAATGAATTTGGGACAAGATTATGAAAGATGCTTATACCATGCTAAGGATTTTAGATTTTGTTCCTTGACTGATGGAAAGGCCATCAACATTTTTAAAGCCAGGAGTTTAAGACTACCTGATTTATGATTTTTCTAGAAAGATGGTTTTGGTGGCTGTATTGAGAGTGGTTGGGTGGGGGCGCTGGTGGCAGAGGAACCAGGCTGCTGCTATATCATCCATCATGAAATATTCTGCTGGAAATAGGCAAGACAGAAAAGAGAAAGGGGCTGGGTGCCTGAGACCCTAAGTAGTGGAATCAATAGGACATAGAGATAATTAGCAATGAGGGGAAAGAGGGAGAGCACTGTAGGAGGAGGTCCAGACATCTAGCCAGGACTGGGCAGTCCTGCAGACAAGAGCAATTTCACCCTTTGATTCTTAGGACATTCTATTTGTTTATCTATGGAAGGAAGTTACAGACATGGCTGGGTTTGTGTTGTCACATTAATTATAAAAGCATTAAAGGGAAAAAAACCCCAAAGGGAATAAAGATTTTCTGAAAAGCATTCTTGTCTAAAGGAAGCTACATGCAAATAGAAAAACCTTGACATTTAACTGATTTCAGTAATCGTGATGATGCTGTGTTTTCATTCATGCTGTGCAGTGGGGCTTTGAAAACTGTGGAAAATTGACAGACAGGCTTTTGTTAGGGGAAACAAAAATGGTTCCAAGTTGCAGGGTTGAATATTTTTATTTTTTCTTTTCATAGGAAAAAAATATCCCATCATTTCTAGCAGTCTGAATGGCACTTAGCATTATTTCTCTTCTTTAATAGATAAAATCTAAGGTTTTCTAGATAATAAAAAAGTCTGAAGTGTGGATGACAATTAAAAATACTAACACCTATAAATACCTTGTTTTGTAGATTTGACTTGGGAACCATGTACATCTCTTTCATAATTATAAAAAGTCAAAATGAAAATGGAAAGTAATTCTTTAAAAGCAAAAGCAAAGTGGAACAAATAAACCTAATTGTGTGTTGACTTGGTGACTTAATCACATAAAGTGTCTTTTAGAAGTCAACAACTTGACTGTAGATTCTTAGATGAAAAACACCCTAAAGACCAAAAAGAACTATGAAACAAAAACTAACCAAAAAACTTAAATCATTTTCATTAATCAAAGCAGTAGTAATACCATCAGTATGATTTCAAAACTGTTATGTATATGCATATCAGATAAAGTTATACATTCTTATATTGATATTATTAGGAGCCAAGATATTCAGCCTAAGAGAAAAGATGTAAAAATACAAAATCAACCAAATGAATGAACTGGAAATAGTATGAGCTCACGATATATTTTCTCTTTAATTATTTTGGTACTTCCCAGCTTTGGTCACTGTAAATACCTAGAAATAATGACCCACTAGTAATGGAGCAGACTGCGGAGTCTAAGAACAATTTCCTGGTAAAGAAACCAGAGCTCCTTGGAGAAATGGCTGATTCCAGGACTGGAAAATGTACAAGATGATCATGGGGCATCTTGTTACAGAAAGCACGGAAGCCATCAAAGATGACTGTGGTTGTGTCAAAAGGATGAGGAACCAATCCCTGGCTCCCACTAGTAAAATATGGGACTTCTTGGGCATCTAAAAGGATAATAACTACAGGGCATTGAAACAAATCAAATATGTTAAAGTCCATGAGTTCATGGTGATACTAACAACAATATAAACCAAACAGACAAAAGCTAAAGCTCACTGGCTCCCTTTGGACGATGTTAAAAAAAATTAAATCATTATCCTGAAAATCGGTCAAGAAAAGAATCAGGTGTTTAGCTTACCTTTCCTGTAGGAACTATATCATAGTGTGATCAAGTAGTTGATGAAGAAAAGCTTTCTCTACAGAAGTAGTCCAACTAATAAATGAAGATAGAGTAGTAGAATTAAAATAGCACTACTTCGCAAATGCCCCAGTAAATACTGGATCTAGGCAATGGTCATTAGTGGCTGCTAACATCCCCCGGATAGAGACTGCCAAATATTACATGCTTCTGATGGAACAATGCAATTACCTCGGAAAGAAATATTCTTGCCCAAACTCAAACCTGAATCAGATCAAAACTCTAGATCTAATGACCAAGTTACAGGAAACCCAAAGGATAAACATATGAAAAGACACTATGCGGATTCAATCAACAAAATCCAGGTTATGAGAAAGTCTACAGAACTAATCACCGAGTTTTTTCAATAAACAAATTGCAAGAAAAATAAAAAACAGAGAGAAGCACTAGAGAAGGAAAACTAAACAGAAGTTATCAACCAAAGGCAAATGTGTGGACCTTGTTTAAAACTTAGCTCTATCAAATCAGCTGTAAAAAAAATTTGGAGGTCAGAAAGACAACCAGGGAAATGTGGGTGTTTGCTAATATTAATGAATTATTGTTACGCTACATGAGTAATATTGTATTAATGGAGTAATGAAAAAAAACCGCCATGTTGCACACCTTGAATACATGCCATTTTTATCATTCATACCTTAATAAAACTGGAAAAACTTAAAATTAAAAAATTATCCTTTTGTCTTAACAAGGCCTCCCAGTAACAAGGTTGTCATTTGGTTTGTGCTAATTACAATAACCCCTAAGAGTAAGGGAAGTGGAAACTTACAGTCTTCATTATCCTTTTTACAGCAAAAGCTTTTTTAAAATAAATTTTTTCCTTAATGATTAACCCCCAAAAAACCCTCTGGCCCTTTCCCACCAAAAGTCATTAGAGAAGATTAAAATAAAGTTACATGAACAAAATAAAAAACAATTGGCAACAGAAGCGATGCACACACAAGAGGTGGTTATTGAACAAGGAAAGGTCACAAGAGCGCCAACTCTGGAGAAATGAAGACCATGGGCTACAGAACCTTGGGAAAGTGTAAAAAAGTGTAAAAGGAATCCTGCCTTTTACAGGTAAAAAATAGCGAGCGAGCTAGAAGAACAAAACTGAAGAAAGTTACGGAGAAAGACAGGAAAGCGCTCGTGATGTTCCAGAACAGGAAATCGTGGAGGAACTTAAAGAGCCCAAAGAAACAGCACCTTCATTTGGGCTTTAGCGAGGAGGGAGGCTTTACCTGTTGCTTGTGATGACATTGTAGTTCCCTCAATTATCACCCCCAAAATTGAGACGTTTTCCCATTACCTTTTCTACCTTATTCTACCATCTACATGAAAAGTTACAGATAAGAAGACAAATGCCAAGGTGGCTACAAAACGTTATGAGCAACACCTCCCTCCGGATTTTTTAAACTGACTCAGTGCCAGCGACCAGGTAGAGAACCAAGCTTTCCACCCGGGTCCGATTTCATCTTTCACCCGTGAAAACTCTAAGAACCTAAGACTGACAAGATGCCAAGCTTCTCAAGACTAACTGCCCAGCAGGTCGAGCTGGGTCTGAGGGGGTGAAGGAGAAGCTCACGGTCAGAGGAAAGGTCCCAGGGCCGGGCTCCCAGGCCCCAGCGCTCCGCGGACTCGCGATGCCGCTGCTCCCGCCCCCGCCCCCGCCCGCCTTGGGTTGAAGGAGAAACGAGCGAGGTCCGGGGCGAACGCTCGAGGCAAGATCCACCCCCCGAGGTGAAGAACCTAGGTGAGTTAAGTTCTCAGCACGCCTGCCCCGGGGAAGCTGGCTCCTCCGGCTTCCCAGGCGGCGCCCCTCTTTCTCCTGACACCCGCTGACGGCCGCAGCTCCGCAGGCGCGCGCGAGCGTTCTCCTCGGATCCCTCACCCATGGTGAACGGCCTGTCCGCCCACGCCTATAGCCAGACACAGGCTCGGGCCACGGCAGCGAATCCTATTCGAGCCTCGGGGCACCTCGCTCGTCTTGGCCTCCGCTCCCCCTCCGAGGCGGTTTCACGGAATCCCGGTCGGCCAGCAACTTCCACGTCGGACTCCCGGCGGGGGCGGGGGGCGGTGGCATCAGCCAGGGACCAGGGGCTACCGCGGCTGCGCGCCGGGAACAGCGGCTTGAGCGTTCGCGTCATCGCTTTCGACGCAAGTCCAAGGCGCGCTGGGTGTAGGTAGTGTGGAAACCAAAAGGTTAAAAAAAATTCAAGGATGCCAAGTCTCTTCCGCTTCTGTTTTCTTGGACATAAAGGGCTTCCTAAACAGAGAAATTGCTATTTTCATTTTAAATTTTGACACCAAAATGTGCCGAATCCGCCAACCCAAAATGTGAGCGGGGTTTCTCTGCGGCAGCCCAGATGTTGCAGGTCCTGAAGTGTCCTGTGGGGGGGACCCACCTTTCCCTGACTGTTTTCTTCGATTAAGAACTAGGACTACGTAATAATTCCAGGAAAAGCCACGTGCGCCAGGGCAGAGCTGCCTTACGCCTGAGGCAGCTCACTCTTGGCGTGGCGGTTGCGTGCAGTGTCCGCATTAGCGGTACTGTAAGAATATAGTAATTTATCCTCCATTTGCCCCCATGGTCCCAAGCACATAAGCCAGTGAGAATTTTGCCTGGGGCTTGTTGGGTTTACCCCGCCTAATCTCTAAACATCCCGACCCTCCCCCAAAGCAACAGGCCTGAGCGGATCCACCACAATAAAACGCACCACGCTGTTGCCCTCTCTCGCTCTCTGTCTCTGTGTGTCAGTCTCTCTGTTGCCCTCTCCCTTTGTCTCTCTCTGTCTGTCTCTCTGCTGCCTTCTCTCTCTTTTTGTCTGTCTCTCTGTACCCCTGCTCTTCCTGCTCTCTCCCTCTCTTTCTCTCTGTCTCTCTCTCCACCCCCGTCTGGGGCAGCCACTCTCTCCTTCAGATAATAAAGTCTCTTGCGTGGGCCCGCGTCTACTGAGTCGTTCTGGGTAAGGAGGGTCACGGCGAGATACCCTTTCATTGGTGCCGTGACTTCGGATGAGGCTCTCCCATTGACTTTGCTCTTCCTCCGGGAACCTGAGCTGCTTTGGAAACCCTCACTGCCCGATCCTCCTCCACGGGCTCACCATCCATTCATTTCCCCAGTCGCTCGTCTTCTCGCCCAACACCGGCCTTCGATTTGGTGAGTCTCCCCTTCATGGTCGACTTAAATGTCCCTTTGGAACCTGGGAAGTGACCGTTGAGTGTCTGGCACCCCCAAGGGCTCCTTTGGGACAGGGTCACCCCCTACCACGACTTTCAGAGTCATGGTTGATCCCCATAGTCAACCTTTCTCTGCCTCCCCATGGTGAGAATCCTCATCCACTGAGGCCCGGTCTCCCTTGATCTACGTTTCTACTCGACTCGAAAACTCGTACCAGGTACCGAGCCTCCCTGGTGTTTTCACCTCTACCCCACAGTTAGAGGTGGTGACGACCCCCTAACTGTGCCTGGTCTTTGTGACCTTCTCAATCGCTCAGGGACGCCTCAGTGACTTCTGAACGGTCTCATTCTCACCATGGGATCTGGCCACTCTGTTCCCGCAGATTCACCGCTAGGGTGCTTAGTCAATAATCTAAAGCCCCTCCACCTCACTCCAGAACTCAAACCTATTCGCTACTATAATGAGATCTGGCCACAATATCCCTTGGACAATCAGTCTAAATGGCCTCCAAATGGCTCTTTAGATCCTAAAATTCTCCACGACTTACACAACTACTGTGAGCGTACAGGCAAATGGAAAGAGATCCCATATATCCAGGCTTTCTCCTACCTCCGAACCAAGCTCTCTCTGTCTCCCCTGCAATCCTAAGCACCTACTACTTGCCTTAAAGTCCACACCCCTAAGTTTTTTTCACGTTCCCAAATATCCTCAACTGCCTATAAAACTCCTAGACAATGCACCACCATGGGCTCTCGTCCCCTCCTGGCTCATGCCAGGAGCTCTGTCTGTCCTCTCACTGTATCGTTACATCTCAATCTGTATGCTTGTCTAAGTGTGTAAATGAAAAATATTTTTCTACCTCCGGATGGTATTAATAAAAATTGATTTAAAGACAAGCGCTTGTAAAAATTGGGCATTCTAAAATTTCCAGAAAATTCTAATAGAAGATATTAAGCATTAATGCTAATTTAAGTTGAACTGAATAGACATGTCCTTATGGTTATCAACTGCCTAAGTTTACCTAAAGTCATTTAAGTTTATGGTATCTGTTAAATCTTTCAAAAAAATGCTTAAAGTGAAGTGTAGCTTTGTCTAATGTGAGTAACTATTTAAGCAAGTGCCTTCACTCTGATATTTTCCAGAGGGCCCCTGGAACATGTCAGAGTAATTTTTTCTCATTGGAGAAAGTATTTGGCTAATTTGGCTTATTTACCTGTTTAATTACCTAGAAGGCACTATCACAGAGAATGATGCTAAACTTTGTTACTGAATGTTTTATGTTACAGAAGTATCCAAATTTCCTAGACAACTGTCTTACAGTAAGCTCTCATCAGATCTTTAACCATTGTCATATGTAAGTCTTTTGTCATCTATACTCACTGTTTCATTACTCCTAAACTAGTAAAAAACTAGATTTCAGCAAAACAGGCATTACTTACATAGGATTAAGTAAACTAAGGAAGATGATTTGGTGGCTTTTTGTTTCAAATGTTGTCGATAAAGTGTTTTAAGCTTTTTCTCTTAAGCTGACAACAGTTTAGTAAATGACTGCCTTTATAAGCAGAATTAAAACTTTATCTTTCTCTCTACCTAATCCCTCCAGAATTTAAAAACTCTCAGTGACTATTTTTATATTTCATGGCAGTATGTTTATTTGCGTAAGTTCAATAAGAATCTGCTTTCCTTGTAAGAGGACTAATTAAAACCACTGGTTATATTACCAAGGCTTTGACTGGAACGTCATACCTGAGAGACACGTGTGTAAACTCAGATATAAACAGGCAGCTTTAAGGAACTAAGATTGACTTTATAAAGCCAACAAAGCCCCTTAGAAGAACTGGCCTGGTACCTTGCTTACAGAATTCCCAGCCGCCTTACCAGGTGAGTAAGGAAGGTCATTTCCTGGCAGGTGCAGGAACCTCAGGAATGTCTTGGGAATCTCAAGAAGAGAGGAATTCACCCAAATCTACAGGTACTGCAGGCACAACCTGATGGCAAGACTGGCTTGGCTTTCTGGCCTCAAGAAGCCCTTAAAAGTTCAATCTGAAATTCCTTACAAAAAGTTCCAGCAATGCATATTTAAAAGAGCCTGTGTAATCAATTACTCTTCTTGCTGCACTTATGCAAATAATCAAGCCAACTGTCAATTATTTTCTTAATCTGGCTACTTCTAATAAAAATGAGGGTGATTTTAGAGAAAAGTATTGTTTCAATAATGCAGTCTTATCTATACTAAATCCTAATACTAGTCATTGAGATGTAAACTCGATCCAGAATTCTAGTTTCCCCATGATACCTGGCTATGATTCCCAATTAGACTCTTCATATTTCTAGTTCTCATATTCAGCCACGCATTCTTAATCTCATCAAGTTTGTCCTTCCAAAATGGAAAATCCAACTCCAGATGTTGTTACTTAACCTAATAACACAATTTGTTTTACCTTGCCTAGAAGCCACAAAACTGCAAATAGTAATAGAAATGAAACCCAGAATAGAAGCGCCAACCTTCCGAGGCCCTCTCAACTGACCAGTGATGGAGGCCTAGCTGCATCCTTTACTGCGCCCCCTCTCAGCATGAAGCAGCCAGAGCAGTCATTGCCCCTTTTCCCTAGCAGCAGCTAGAGTCTCTATCTGTAGAGGGGAGAATGAGACAGGGACCATGGGCTTAGACAGAATAAGGTGAGAGCCTCTGGGGAAAGCAAGGCAGGATATTTGCAGTCAGAGCAATGTAAAACTACATGCTAGAACCCCCCCCCTAAAACTGTTGAACATTCTTCAGTGAGATCAGTTAATGTTCCCCAGATAAAGAAGAGTAGCACATGTTTTATTATGCTAATCATTTCTAATCATGTATAAGATTCACTTTAGCATACTAAAAGGCCAGGTCTATGTGCTGTCTTTCCTCCTTCAGATCTGAGGAGGTAATTTTGCAAACTGAGCAACTAACTTAGCTGCAGACCCAGCTGTAGATGGCATAGTAAAAGGCAGGATTATTTAGCAAATAGACAATACCTCAGCCCACCTTGGGAGCTGAGCAGGCAGCCTTTTGATATGCTCCCAGACCAAGACACCGGTATCCCAGAGAAAAATTGAGGCAGGAGATTCCTTATGTTAAGTTAATTTTTAATATTCAGAGAACACTTAACAAGTCCTTCCCAAAGGCTTTAGAGATAGTCCCCACCTTTTTGGACAGGCTCTAGCACAAGATCTCAAATCCCTTACTCTCTCAAGCTCCACCCTTCTTCAATATGTAGATGATCTCCTCCCATGCAGTCCCTCCGTACAAACCGCACAACCAGATACTATTCTCCTTTTAAACTTTCTCTCAGAACGCAGCTATCGGGTGTCACCCTCCAAAGTTCAGCTGTCTGACACTCAGGTCACAAAGCTGAGAGTTCAGCTCTCCCTGCGCTACAAGGCCATTGCCATAGACAGGAAAAAACTTCTCCAAACCATGCCCATTCCAAACACCAAGCAACACCATCCCTAACTCCCAAATGGCAAGGACCATACACAGTAATCCTTTCCACACCAACTGCAGTTAAACTCCAGAGTCTTCTCCTCTAGATACACAACTCCCACCATAAGCCGTTTGTCTCCCCTTATTCCCCTCCCACCAAATCTCCCACAGGTTCCTACTCCTCCACCCTGATGGGACCTCTTACTCTCTGCATTTCGTGCTGCTCATCTCTGCTTCCACTCATCACTGAAGAAGTTTCTGCCAGCACAGAGTTCTAAGACCTCCCTTACAACTGCCATGCATCATGCTTCAGGATTATTAACCCTGGTCTCAACACTTATTCTCTCACCAGACCTATTTTCCCAATGCCAGCCCTTTCTTTCTCAGACTGTCCAAAAGATTGCACCATCAAAGATTCCCTTTGCCCTACAGGTTGCTTTTCTGCCTACAC